AATCGAATCTTCAGATGGTCGACATTTAATGTGACCAAACCATCTAAGACGACTCTCTCTAATTTTTTCCAAACCATCACTGGAGCTACACCAACCCTATCACAGATATATTCATTTCGCGTTTTGTCTCTAAGTGTAAAGCCACTCATCCACCAAATCATTCTCATCTAGGCAACACTTAAGGCAACACTTAACTTAGTTTCTTAACTTAGTTTTATGCTTCTCTTTTAAACGCCAACATTCAGCGCCATTGAGCATTACAGGTCTCACCACCATCTTATAAAATTTTGTTTTTAGTCTAAGTGGTACTTTTCTATCACAAAATAGGCTTGAAACATTCCTCCACTTCAACCAACCAACTTGAATTCTACTAATCACATTTCCATCAATATCACCATCACTTTGAACAATATACCCGAGATATCTAAAGCGTTCACACCTTTTAATAGTTTGATCACCCATAGTTACATTTCTGTTACTAGAGCTACTGTTATTAAAATTACATTTCATGTATTCAGTTTTAGTTCTACTCAAATGAAGACCTTTAGACTCCAAGGTAGACCTCCATAATTCAATTTTTTTCTGAGCATTTTCTCTCGTCATATCCACGAAAATGATATCATTAGCAAAAAACATACACCATGATACATCCTCCTGTAAGTTTCTAGTAAGACCGTCCATAACTAAAGCAAAAGGATATGGGCTTAAAGCTGATCTCTGATGTAAACAAACAGAAATAGGAAAATATTTGGTCAATCCTCCCTCAATTTGAACACAAATAACAGCTCTTGTATACATATCTTTAATGACTTGAATATATGTCATATCAACACCTTTCTTCTCAAGAACTCTCCAAAGGATATCTCTTGGAACTTTATCATAATCTTTTTCTAAATCAAGAAAAATCATTTGTAGATCCTCCTTATTATCTCTGAACTTGTCCATCAAACCTCTCAATAAATGTATAACTTTCATAATAGACTGACTAACATAATTGATTATGAGAAATTTTTATAATATGTCTTAACCTATGTTCAGTTACCCTCTCCGTTACCCTCTCCTCTCCCATAATTTTAAAGTATGAAACATCAACTTAATTTCTCTATAATTTGCACATTCTTATGCATCCCCTTTATTCTTACAAATTGGTACCAAAACACTCTTCCTCCACTCCTCATACATCTTTTTAGTATTTAAAATAATACTAAAGAGTTTAATAAGCCAAGAAACTCCCAAATCTCCTAATTTCCACACTTCAATTGGGATTTCATTATGTCCTACAGACTTTTCACCATTGATTTTCTTTAAACCTCAACTTTTTTTTACTAAGGCGACGGTAAAAATAAAACATATTATTATTATTAATGATATTAAGATCACTAAGATTTTTTCGAAGCTTCTTTAAAATGTATATCAAAATAACTCACCCACCTATTTTGAATATCTTTTTTCTAAGAAAAACACTTCTTAATTTTCATCTTTAATACACTTAAATTAAATCTTTACTTTTCTTTTCTTTTTGTTGGGCTAGTTTATACATATGTTTTTCATCTCTTTAGTATCCAATATATTATAAAGATCAATAAAAACATAATTTTTAGCGTCACAGATTATTTTCTTAGACTCCCTACGGACCGTTTGATATTTTCTCAGTACTCTAAGCTTTCACATTTAAACCAATTTTTATGACATAATTTCTTATATTTTATCTTTTCTTGCATATTATTATTTCACAAACTATTTTTATTTATAGAAACTTTTTTTTTTGATTCTCCAAGTATAACTTTACCACTTGTTTAATATTGTTTGTTCCTTTATCCCACATAGAATTATCTTCATCATGGATATCCCAAATTTTGAAATTTTAAAATACTAAATTTTACTCATAAAAATAATTTATTTGTATTTTAGGTACCTCGTCTAATTCTACAACGATGATGCCTAGTATTCTTTATTTTACAACTTTTCATCTTAAAATTTAGAACTAATAATCGATGTTGAGTATTTAATTCCTCACTTGGAATGATCTTACAATCTTTACATTCTCGACGATCTCTTCTCATAAGAAAATGATCAATTTGTGTTTTATTAGATCCATTCTTATGAGTATATGTTCATCTCTTATGTTCATCTCTTCTCTTGAATAAAGTATTAGCAATAACAAAATCATACCCTAAAGAAAAATCTAATATCCAAAATCGTAGCCACCATGAATATATCTAAAATCTTCTATCACTCTACCGACACATTCATTTAAATCTCCTCCAATAAAAATTATTTCTTCAAGAGGTATCATTTTTATCAAGTCTTCTAAGTCATTCCAGAATTTATCTTTAGAACCTATTTCTAAACCTACTTGAGAAGCATAAACACTTATAATATTAAAAATCTTAGTATCAACAATAATCTTAAGGGTTATAATTCTAGCTCCAATTATATTAATTTTACAACATTATCTTTCAAACTCTTATATATAAATACACCTACACTATTTCTAGTGTGACTCTTACCTAAATACCAAAGTTTAAAACCTAAGTTATCAATCTCTTTAGTTTTTTTTTAACCCATTTAATTTATTGAACACATAAGATATCTATCTTTCTATTAATCATAATATCAACTAATTCTATTAATTTACCAGTTCCAAGATCTTATCCTAATATTAGTTTCATGGACTAATTGTTTTACCTGCATACGTCCGTAATGTGAGAACCCTTGCTTATTTGACATTACATATGGGCGCTGGTGTAGCGGCCCTTGCACACTTTTCACTGTATTCAAACCATACAGCGCATCGCTTACAGGGGACGCCCTAGCACTTACACAATGATCAAAAGGATTCATGTCATGATTTTTTCGACATGTTTTACGTTGGTTGCCGACTACTTGATGTAACTCTCCACTTTTCACATCCGGACTTGGAACTAGCAATGGCAGTGTTAAATATCTTATGTATTCAAGAAACTAAATTTCATTTCATTTGTTTTATTTAGGTTACACTTTTTATAATTAAGAGTCACTGTTTAAACTTATACTTTATAAAAATATATGTTTTATCTTTTCCAACCCACCATAAAGGTGTGCAACCTTTTTCATTTTCATTTCTATTTCGTGCACGAGTACAGTGGATTCCTCTGCTAGTATCATCCAGGGGTGTCTCTCATATACATGCATATATCATATTTTAACCATTTTTATCTTGCATTTAACATTTAAAAGAAAACATGAATTTTAACATTTTAAAAATGAAAACTGGGAAACAGTAAAAAAATGCATAAATAAATAGAACTATTGTAAAATAAAAACATATTACCCACCTCAACACTGTCGTCATCGATGTTTTTCCTCAGGTCAATCTAGTTCTTAGGTGCACCTATAATAAGAATTTAAATGTAATTAACTTCTTGTTCAGTGCAAATCTTCTCTTCTATTGCTTCTAGAATCTCTATCATTAGGTTCATAAGTTCTTTATTTAATAAAAAAAGTATTACATATCTATGTGTATATCTATGAGCTAACCATACATATATACATATATGTGTAGGAATATCCAATTTAATTTTTATGTTAAAGTTTTAAAAATTTTCATTTGGGCACCTGACATTAATAGTAGCTTAATTATAAATAAGTTTTAAATTTAGGGTTCTTTATTCATTTTAACATTCATTAATTACGAAGGAAATAATAAATTTTTGAAACACAACTTTATACCTAAATTTTCTTTCTGATGGGTTTTCTTACGAATCTAACCTTCTCCAAACTTGCCCTAAACAAATATGAACAAGATTTTAATTTATTTGTAATGTAAACTTTCAGACATATAATCGTAATCAATTATAATTAATAATTTAAATTAAATTAACACTAATTAACTTAATATTTACCTTTTTATTCCTTTGTCTTGCCCTATTGTTTTGAAACAAGCCTCGCTCAATTAAACTCTCTCGCGCGCAGAGCTCCCGTGAGCCCTTTCTTCCTCTCCAAGCTCTCGGTCCTCTTCTGCAGATCGCACGACAAAGCGAACCCGCCGCCTTCTGTCACTTCTAGCTCTCGGGTGAGGCACAGAAGCTTTCCCCTCTTCTTCTTCGCTTGAGTAGGCTGCTCAAGCCTTCTAGGTACTCAAACGTGCTTCCCCTTCTTCTCCCTTCTTTCCTTTGATGCTTGTGGCACTCGGTAGAGCCGCTCGAGTTATCTTCTCTTCCATTCGATGGTGAAAATGGAAGGAAATGATCATAATAGGTGAGTCGTTGGTCTCCTTTTCTTTCCTTTCCTTCCTCTCGCAACTCTCAATCGAGCTTCCTACAAGTCGCACGGGCTCTCCTTCCTTTTCTGCGGCTCAGTTAGGGCACGAATGCCTCAACTGATGCGTATGAGCGGTTTGGAACTTCGTCCCTCTTTCCTCCTACGCTCGTAGGACCGCAGAAATGTCAATGTCACAAAAGGGAAGCTCGGGTGAGTCGGGTGAGTCGTTCGAGCCCTCCAGATAGCCAATCGAACTTCCTCTACCTCATTCTCTCGTTCTCTTGCGCTCCGTCTCTCTTGCTTGCTGAGTGTGTGAGTTTGAATGAGGGAAATGAAGGGATAGCCACAATTTGTCTGCAACAAATAACAATTTGACTCCAGATAGCAAATCGAACTTCCAGCGACTGCAACAAGCAACATCTAGCATACACAGACATTACATTACCCATAAATTCTATTATTCAATGTAGCTTCAGTTGTTGCATGTTCTTGTTATATAAGGATAATGAACTTTTAAAGTTTGCAAAATGTCACGACTTGTCCCTTTCGCATGTTTTCGGTGTGCAATCTCTCCTCTCACTCAAAAACACACCTCTTTAGACTCCCTCATTTCATTGTTTGGTTTCCAATCAGGTATTATTTCTTACTTGACTTCTTTCATTGATACTTTGATTGACAACATATGTTCCTGTGCTGAACTAATAAGCTATCTGGCTATATTGTGCTTTAATGTAACAGCGAAATGATGGTGATTGTAGTTTTGCAGATTCCAGGCTTGCTTCGGCCGTCTCAAACTTAGAAGAACCAGCTTACAATTTCTAATATGTATTAGAGACATCCAAACAAAGGAGGAGTTTCAGAAGTTTGGTAAATCCATTTTGCAAGCTTTTTGTTTCTTTGCCAACCAACTGCACTTATTCTGGCAAGTGCTACGAGCTTGACAGTCTTCAAACTCTTGTTGTCTTGCTGATATTGTGAGCTTTTGTTCATTTGTTCTGGAGTGCTTCCACATTAGTGAATAAGGAATGGATAAGGATGTCTGTTATATCTATATATTTTTAATTTGATGTAATAATATAAATTATTTCATTGAAATTTTAAGTGTATTTTTTTAATGAAATTTGTTTTTGACATGTTAAAGTGAGGGTTGTAAATAATATTTCCTAGAAATGTGAGTTTGATACTAAAATAGCTATACTTCTGTATTTAGGGAGTTAGGCTGGGTTTCTTCGTATTTCTAAAAGGTTTATAGATATGGATATGGATATTAAAATATACTCAATGAATTATGCTTATAATGTTGCTAAAAGTTTATATAGGTAAATTTGATTTAATGTTAAAATATCTTGTTTCTCACTCTAAAATTCATTCAAATTATTTTTATTAATTTGATCATATTTTTCTGATGAAATTGATGTGTAAAATTGTATAGGAATTATGAATACATTGGGTTTTATAAAAACAAATAATTAAATTAATCGAACTTATATTAATCATTTAATTGAAATTAATTAATATTTGTGTTGCGTGCTGAAAAATTCACGGCGGTGAAGCGCTAATTTAAAATTTGAGCATTGATTGAAATCTAACAAAGATGATAAAGAAAAATGGGAGAAGAAGCTGGAAAAATCCGAACTGAGAAAAAAATCAAAGGATTTAATTTCGTTAAAATAATTCACTATAAATTTGCAAGTATAATAATAATTTTTTTATGCCACAATCGAGGAAGGGTTGTATGGGTTTTTCAAGTACAATGTCAATATGCATGAATTTGTTGTGCAGCACCCACATGCAGTTATTGGAAGTTATCACTTTGTGTTTGATATATAGTATTTGTGGTACGTTATTTCAAAGTATTTAGAATATTGTGACACTTGTATGTACTTAATAGAGTATTCTATTTCTCTGCAATGTGTGTCGTTATTTTGTAGAATATTTCATTACTCTGCAATGTATGTTGTTATTCTACAAGATACTTCATTATTCAGTAATGTATATTGTTCCTTTACATGGTATTTCGTTACTCTGTAAAGTTTGCTAGCGGCAGTGAGCAGGGAGCCACTGACGGAGGTCGACAACAGTCGGCTGGCGAAGGGGGAGCGACAACTGGTCGACGAACGGCGATCAGCGATTACGAAGGTTTGGAGTTATCATCGTGTCTTCAGTTCATAAGAGCACTAAAATTTGGCTCATTCTTCACCTTCATCCTCCTCCCCAAGTGAAGAAATGGGTCTATTTATAGGCTCTCGACGATGAGCATTTAAGTCTTTTGGTGAAGAACAACTACAATCATCTTATCGAACGATCCACGATTCTTCTTGATTATAGGAGCTTTTTGGTAATCTAAGGGCCTTAATGATCTCAAGACAGATGATTTTGGACCAGTTGGATTTCTCTCGTCAAGATGCTTGATTTGATTATAGACACATCAAATTTGGACTCATATTGATTTGACTCTCCAAATAACCAACCAAATTTGATTGCTTTCATTTGACTCCCTCAAATAACAAATCAAAGCCTTCAAAAGTAGTTTAATAGTTTGATTTAGGCTTAATTTGACTTGAATTGAAAGAAACTTAGTATCGTTGAATTCTTCTCATCTACTTGGTCAGTTTGACTATAAGTTTGTTGAAATCGGTGTGTGTGTTGGATGAATTTTAATTTAAATCAAAATATTTCTTTCTCAAAAAATGCATCAATGTAAGTGTCAAATGCTTCGTGATTTGTGTCATGATAAATTTAGGTGAAAATGTGTCAGTTGCCCCTTATTTGTGGGTGATGTTGTCGATCTCTTTTGAGATGTAATGTTCAGAAATTCATACTTTGTGGTGTTTCGCGTACTTCGTTGAGTTTAGAATAGGTTGTTGTTGTCACAAGTATTGGCGGCAGAGAAGCTATTGTCTGAAGACGTTGTGGTGGTTGGACAGTCAACTTCCACAGTAATAGCGATCATTGTAAAATAGTAAGTGTTTGGAAAAAATAATAATGTATACATGAGCCTATATGTGTGTTCCTGCAAGAAAAAGAGAACAGTTACATATCAAGAATGCATGAAGGTCCAAAAACAAGTGGATGCAATCAAGGGTGCAATGGTGAGCGTGAAAAATGAGTCGACGTGCAGGCTGGGGCGATCAGGCTTATGTACATGCGGACATGCGATTGTGTCGCGTGATAGTCTTGGTTGGTCTTGAGTTGGGTTGTGCGGTAAACGCTGTGGGAGTGGGCCAGTAGCCTGGTAGGGTAGGGCTAGAATGTGGTGAAAGGTAGTTGAGTGGGTTGCCGATCAGATCTGGTCGGTTCAAGCCGATCATGGCAATGTGGGAGCAGATCGGTGTCATGTGGTGTGGGAGCTAACTCGGGCGATGTGTGGTGTGGGAGTGGACACTATCGAGAATCGTGGGCCACGGAGTGGGTCGGTTTTAGAGGATCCGCTGAACTAGGTAACAGAACAGTGTGTGTGTCTGAACGCACGTATGCATGTGTGCTCAAGCATGCACGAGTGTGCACTCTTGCCTCTTGAGCTGACTCAGGGTGATTTTTTTCAGGTTTATTGGTTCTATGCCAAAATTCTTGCATTTGTCCCAATTTATTGGTTCTATGCTAGGTTCCCGAATAGGAAGGATAAAAGGATTCCGCACCATAATTAATGATGCCTTTAATACCGACTCGCCATGGTCATGTGATGAGGAGCGGCACTAAAATTGTCGGTCGTCGTTTTTCAACACTCGGGGAACTCGACCCAACCAAGGGCATCATGGAAGGCTGCCGAAGAATATGTAGGACACATGTACATTGAATAAAAATAAATAATAAAAAAATAAAATAAGATAAGAATAAAATGATGATAAAATAATAATATGTACACAAGTGCATCCTAGAGGTCAGTTACGGTGGGTCGGTTGGGTACTTGCTCCACCTCTGAATCGCAATCTCATACCTTGAAAGTCGAAAAGCTCAGTTCTCCGAAGATGGTTATCTGCTCACTGGCAACAAAATCCACGAAGGTGTGTCAAGAAAATCATCCCTGGAATAAGCCCCCAAGGGTGGCCATGGCATGTAACAACAAGATCCGCACTTAGCAAAAGGAACAAACCCAGCCGAAGTGAAGGCCCAATCCACTCAACGGGGTGAGGGTTCATGATAACTTAGGCCTATTACAAGCCAATTATTCTGCATATTTTAACTGATTTTTATGTGAAATGATTGTGAGTATGATTTGGGCCCCAATCAACGACTAAATTGAATAAATCCTTAAAATATTAAAGAACGACTGGTGAGGGCATGATATCTGAAGTTCGGGGTTTAGCTTTGAAGGTGATCAAGACACATACTAGCGACAAGATATGTGATAGGTCATAAAGGTCGCCTAAAATACGAGTCTTTCCGGAGGTGAAAACCTAACCAAAAGGGATTTACGAAACATCTTGGGCGGTCGATTTATAAGGTAGATTGACTCACAAGATAAGCACATGATCAATCGAATCACAACCAATCCGAACAAGCCAAGAACTGGTAAAAATTTCTCATGTATCCAAAAAAAATTACAAATGTCTTTCCTTTGATTCTTAAAAAAATAATAATAGATAATAAAAAATAGAAAAAATTCTTCATATAGCAGGACCCTAGAGGCTGGCCAATCCTTTTTCACTGCTTGAGTCGTCCTACTCTTCTGCGACTTCTTCCGACTTGTTTGCAAGTAGAGTGGAGAACTCTTCTGGGTCAGAGAATTTGGGGTCAACTAGACTGTGGTTGACGAATCGTTGGATGACATAATCCACCTCAAGCCTAAGTTCGTCTGCCAGGTCATTCTCATACTCCTCCTTGGAAACCAAAAAGGCAATCTTCTCCTTTAGCTCAGCATTCTCCTTCTCCAAGGCCGCTACAGTGTCGATGGATTCTTGATTAACCTACTTGGAATTGTCAAATTTGAGCTTCATAAGGTCTCGATCATCGTTAACTCTTTTGACATCCATCTTATTGAAGCATCCTTTTTTTGAGTCTCATGTAGCGCTTCTTCCAACTCAATCACGACTAGCTCTATAAAATGGACACTCTGCGCCACCACCAACTGCCACATATCCACACTTTGGAGGAGTTCCCGCCAGCATAAGCCTCCCATAGTATGAACAAGCTTCTCGGACCACAACACGTTCAGCAAAGCAGAGGCATACTTATGTTCTCATTCATCTACAAGTACCAGTCTAAAGACTGATCCAGTAAACCAAACCGCTTGTCGGACATAAGCCAAGTCCTGTTGGCACCCCTGTGCATGAGGTCCCACTCAAAGGCCTCCTCCTTCCTCTTTAAACAAGGGAGAGATGGGATGTTTATATCCCTCAGCAGCTCCTTCCCTCACCGATGGACCTTTTTTTCTTCATGGGAAGGCGAGGCCTCATCGTTTGAAGATGAAGTATACTCTCTCAATGAAGAACTGGGTGAGGCAACAGGAGAGCCCTGCCTAGCTTTAGGTCTTTTGGACAAGGCAACAAAGGAAGGATCCCCAACCCGCAAATTCGATAGAATAGCCACAATCAACAACATGTCGGTTTTTGAGGAAGAGGGAGTTGTGGTCTCGGTTTCATCTAGAACACCTTCGGAAAAGTTGTTCTCCTGTCACCTTACCCCGCATCAACAAATGAGAAGCATATTTTTTAGGAATTGTGGTAACCTTGTTGGTCACTGTATCTTGAATAACAATGGTGGTTTCAGCCAAGGAGGTAAGATATCTTGAGGCCAGACTATAAGGAAGAAGGGCCTCATTTTCTACAGAATTACCTGGCCCTGCAAGACACTGCTGGTTTTGGTGCTTAGCAGCTCACTTCTCCTTCGCCTCCTTGGCCCTAATCACCTCATAAATATCTGAGAGGCACCTTTGTTCCTCAGTCATATTGCCCCTTAGCAGGCGGGGAACCGTCGCCTTGACGATGTACTGTGGGACTGAGAGATGACGACCAGTCAACATTTCCTTATTGACATCCCTACTCAATGGAAGAAACTTTGGTCTGTCCATAACTTGCTCCAATGGTTTAGTTCAGATCCCCCAGTCACCAAAGCAAGAACCGGCCAGAAACTTCTTCTTCCAATCCTCTATCTTATTCTCCACTCCCAGCATGTGAAGTTCCTTGCCCGCTAAGAACATGGAGAAGCCCTCCTTATCATCCTTGAATGAGAAACAGTGCTTAAACAATTTGATCGACCATGAAATATGCTCTCGACAATAATAGAGGATGAAGGTCATTATTACATCTATGGAGTTCAACAACACTTGCGTCGGAATGACCTTGTACCCAAGTCATCAGTCGCTCGCACCTACTCAGGCATCCTTCGACGTGCCGGTGCCGTAATAAAGAACATACTTCCTCTGCAACTCTCTCACGTTGGCATCCATCAAGAACAAAGGGTCGACACTCTTGACAGAGAAAAAAAAAGGTGGAAGGGTATTTGGGAACCTTCTCAGAGAGTCAAAGGCGGCCAGAAGACGAAAGGAGAAGAAAGAACAAATGCACTGAAAGAAACGAGAATGTATATGTAAAAGGAATGATCCTTGCCCTATTTATAGGGCAGACACGTAAAATGCAACATCACATAATGATAAGTGTCACACAAAATATCATTTTAAATTTATTTGAAGCCCTTTCTAATCCAAATAATATTATTAAAAGTCTCGAATAAAGTGCTTTATGAACATGTCCTCGAAGGCCTCGGTAGAGACATATGCCCTCTGAGCCATTCTTTATAGGACCATCCCACTGCTCCACCTAACCTAGTCCACCCGGTTGGCCTCGTGATGAAACTTGCTCATATTGGCCAACTCGCGAAGCACTCCTAGCTCGCGAAGTGCCTCAGTCAGCCCGCTTTACAAGGTGGTAACCTCCTCTAGGAAAGTCGCTACCTTTGAGTTCGTGGTTGCGAGGTGGACTAATAACTCCCTCGCAGGATCCATGGTCGAGCCTCTGGTCGCTCCCTCTGAAGAACCAACCAACACTAACAAAGGTTCGGTCATGTCCACCTGCTGCTCCATGGATCCAGGAGAAGGCAGTTGTCGCTCTGTTTGCTCCTTTTTAAAGCTGATAGCGTGCAAAGGGTCAAGTGATTGGTGCCCCTCCGAAAGGATTGATGGCAGAGGTCCCGCGAACTCGGCCTGCAGACTAGCCACTGCAGTGGGAGTGGACTCTGCAATGTCCTTCGAAGGCCCACCATCTTCGCTTCTCTCTAACTTGACTGATTTATCTGCATTGGAAAAAAGCTAAAAAATTGTTAAAAACCACCAACGACCAAAGAAATCTTTATGTGCCCATAAATCTATCTATCGAAGAAAGGGCCTCCAGAAGCTTTCTCTCTCTCTCGAAACAAAATACCTCGCCTCTTGGTAAGGGCGGCGGAGGAGAGGCGGCGATAGCCACTCCCTTCCGCCCTCTTCAACATCTACCACAAGCAAGACTTGCTAGCCCTTGACAATCGTGTTCACATCGGACCCGAATCCCAGAGTTTCCTGGCAAAGCTTTTTCGGCGATTGTTCCTCAATGCCATCAGACAAGCTAACTACGTCGGCCGGATCAGATTCGGGCCTCGACCATTTCCTTTCTTCACACTTGTTCTCTTCATTAGAGGGGTCGGGGCCTGGAAGCTTACCTTGGCCAAAATTTTGGGATCCATATCGACCGACTCATACCATCAGTCATGATGTACCTCAACTATCTAGAAAAAAACTGGCAGCTAAGGATGCAACATCAATTCTATGACTTTATTTATAGAACACACTAGACACGGAACCCAAAGGGAATAAATTGTTCAATCGATTCTTGGTTTTGATGTCACTGATTGTTTAGTAATTTCTCTATCCTTATCTAGCTGTCACTATCAATTAGCAAGAAAATTCAAGGAACTAATATGTATACACCAATATTGTCGGTACAAATCTCAAAACAATCAAACTACTGAAATGATGACAAAACGATCGAGGCATTAAATTCGAGAGACATGATCTGAATCGGTTATCTGGAAGATGAACTAACCAATCAAGTCCACCCTAAGCAAATTTGGTCAGTGGGCCTATCTACGTCCCAACCGTCGAAGCTTCCTAAAAGTCGGACGAACACAACTGACGGACCAACCACATGTACCTTGGCAGAAACGACATCTACTAGGCCCGTCGCTTTGGTCGACCTAACCAAAACATGTCGACCGGTCAATTATTGTCATATTCATATTCAAATTATAAATTTAGTATTAAACCAGCACATTGATTGCATTAATAACAGTTTCCATAATTAATTGCATTAATAACACTTTCCATAATCGCTCTCTTCTCCGGTAATTTGGCGCTATTTCCATAATTGCTCTTTTATTTCTGTAATCTTACAAAAAGACCTTCTACAAATATGAGTCTCAACAATGAATAAAAGGGCTCGACTTTGCTCCCTATATCTTTTTATCTTTTCTCCGTGTCTTTTGAGAATTTTCTAACACCTCCCTTCTTTCTCTCCACTCTTTCTTTTGGTTCTAACTCCTGAAAAGTGTATTTTGAAAAAAAAAAAAGGATAATTTCATACTAAAAAATATAATATATTATTATATAAATAATATATATAATTTGTTTATTTGAAGCTAGAAATTTATTGGTGCTGCTAATTCGAACCAAAAATTTGTAATCCAACCCGAACACAGCGACTGCTCCAGCACCTGTCTGGGCAAGAAATGGGAACTTGGCGAGGCAAATCAGAACAAGAAACCTTCTCCTTCCCGTCTAATCCACCGTAAAGGAAATCCTCTTTGTATTTGTAATTCACTGGATTCGGCTAGATGCTGGCGGCTTTCTGGGGCCACGGCCCCCTGAATACCTCGCTGCTCCCCGGCAAGTGTTCAGACCTTCGTGTGTTCGATGGGTGCAATGGGTTCACCGCGTATTTTACGCGTAAGGATAAGTGGTGGAGGAGAGCGGTGGGGTGTGGAGGCGGTGAGGGAGAGACGCTGAAGTCCGGTGTGGCGCGAGCTCGGCTTACGAGCTCGTTGCCCCCTTCGATCGATCTGGACTTGCAGGTTTATGCCTCTTGAATTTCCGTTGGTTTTTATTTTTATTATTTTTTTAGTGGTTGTGTACATTTTCACCCGATGTGACTGAGTTGGGAGCCGAAGATAGGAGAATCGGGGATTTTTTTAATAGATGGATGGTATCGTTTGGGTCGATTGATACATTACATCCTTTATATTGGTGGATTATGCTTGAAACTTCAGTTTTCTTTTCTTCAACTTCACGTAGGGCACTAATTGGCATAACTGCGTATGATTTATTTTCATGTAAAATTTCTACCATTATATGCAAAATTTCTTTTATATGGTATCAAATAATAAATGGGTAGTGCCGGCATCATCATAGCAACTTCTGGTCATCAATATTAACGAGGATAAATCTAATAAATTTTAGATTTTTTTTTTTGTTGCAATAAGTTGTAACCAATTCATGTTAATAGAATCATCATGACCACACGATTACTCATGGCAAAATCGGATTATGATTTACAACAATAAGAGTGTATAAAAGAGAAAAAGGAGATGATATAGACAAATGAAATAGTGAATGCGAGCGAGGAGGAGAAGAGTGTTTGGCCCAGTGGACTAAGTTCTGCTTGGGCTAATTATAAGGGGTCGATTCAGGATAGGTATATACTCAAAAAGGTTTCTAGTTTGCAATTGGCTTTATGAAATTTGGTTCAAGGATTATCCTCTTTATTTTAGGCTTTGATGATGCATTACTACCTTCTCCTTCATTTTAAACATTGTGTCTTACACTTTGGCATAGGAGAGCCATGTTATCTTGCCATGTCTTTACCTACAAGACTCAATTATAAATAGCAGGAGTACACCATATTTTTCATCATTCAACATGTTGTATCACTTGTCGAGTACCAAAATTTATCCTCCCTGAACATAATTTATGTGTTTGTGTTAGATCCTTAAAGAATGCTATATGCACTTTGATAATTTATTGAACATTATGATCACCTTAATTACTATATATTCTGTTGAATTTCTTAGGCTATTTTTTTGGAACCATTTAGTTATTCACTAAAATGTTCTTAAGTATTTTAATTGAATTTAGAGTTTTTGACCTAAGACAGATCAATAAATAAGAGTTTGTGTTACTGTCTTATGCCCTTAGAAGTGTCAAATATTTGAATTTCTATAGTTTTGAAACTTCTATATTTTTTTCCCTTAGTTATTTTTTATAGTCAAATTTCATAGAGCAAACTGCAAGCTAGAAACCTTTTTTCAGTATACCTATTTTGAATCGTTCCCTTAATAATTAGCCCAAGTAGAACCTAACTCACTAGGCCGCACTCTCTTCTCCTCGTCACTTGTCATCTTTATTTTACTTGTCTATATCGCTCCTTTTTTCTTTCTCCTATACACTCTTATTGCTACTAAATTAGCTCGATTGCCTATAGCCATATGGTTGCCTTGAGTTTACTGCTACCTAATAATGTTAGTTGTTGTCTGACACAAGTGGTTAGATGGCCAATTGAATTTTACCATTATACTGCCTCGTTATTTGAGTCAAAAGGTTTGACCATACAAAATAACAACAACAACAACAAAGCCTTAATCCCACTACGTCGGCTACTTGAATCCTTTTTCTCCATTGCGTTCTATTTAGTGTCATATTTTCTAGACCTAAATGAAAATAAGACACTAAATAGAACGCAATGGAGAAAAATGATTCATGTAGCCGACCCCACATAGTGGGATTAAGGCTTTGTTACTGTTGTTGTTGTTGTTGTTGTTGTTGTAGTTATTTTGTATAGTCAAGCCTTTTGACTCAAATAATGAGACAATATAATGGTAAAATTCAATTGGTCATCTACCCACTTGTGTCAGACAACAACTAGCATTATTAGGTAGCGGTAAGCTCAAGGCAACCATATGGCTACAGGTGATTAAGCTACTTTAGTAGCAATAAGAGTGTATAGGAAAAAGAAAAATGGAGACGATATAGACAAGTGAAATAAAGATGACAAGTGACGACGAGAAGAGAGTGCGGCCTAGTGAGTTAGGATCTACTTGGGCTAATTATTAAGGGAAAGATTCAAAATAGATATACTAAAAAAGGTTTCTAGCTTGCAGTTTGCTCTATGAAATTTGGTTCAAGGATTAATCCTCTTTGCTATATGTGAATGATGTTTATTTTTAGGCCTTAATGATGAAGTAGCACCTTCTACATTATAAACACTGAGCCCTATTGTCTTTAGGATACGAGATTTTTATTTCCTTGCCATGGCCCTAACTATGAGACCTAGTTATAATGCATTTGATTTAGAGCCTTAAGAGTACTATGGGCTCTTCGGTAATTTGTTAAACATAATGATTGCCTTGCTTACTCAATATTCTATTGAAATATTTAGGCTATTTTGGAACCACTTAGTTATTCTATAAAAAATTTTAGGTGCCTTAATTGAATTTAGAGATTTTGATCCAAGAACGTTCAGCCAATAAGAATTTTTGTTAGTGCCTTATGCCCTTTGAAGTTGTCAAATATTTTGTAATTTTTTTTCCTTAAAGTTAGTTTGTATATTCAAACATTTTGACTTAGCTAGTGAGGCAGTAGAGTGGTAAAACTCAATTTTCCATTCACTTACTATATGTCAGGTGACTACTAGTCTTGCTAGGTAATAGTAATCTTAAGGGAGCCATATGGCTACGAGGGATTGAGCTACATCAGTGGCATTAGGCTCACCATAATTGTCATTTAAGCAGTAGGAAAATGACGTCAATCTGTTGGATCCCTTTAAAAGATTTTACTATGTGTTTGATTGGGATTTATCATAGAACTATTGTCTGTTGTTGGTCCATGATATTTATGAAATTAGCTTAATTTTGCTAGTTATGAATTCACCATTTAATAGGGAACTCCCACTATTATAACTTTATATTAGGCTAGTGGGAGTTTTAGTGCATGCTGCTGGACAACAATAATTATAGAGGCATCTAATAGATATTAAGAAATGACATTAGAAATGGACAATTTCTCATGATTTTTGTGGGGTTTACCGTGTTAAGAGGACTAAGAGATTGTTTATCAAATGGTATAGTGGAGGATGACATGATTTATGCTATAAGAAGTGTAATGAGATGCAACTTGATAGCTACGATGGTGGGTGTGATGTGATTTACTTTGTTAAGATTCTAGATAGGATTTGAGCTTTGGGGAGGTTGTACTTGTTGTTGTCGACACAATTGTTGCTGTGCACAGGGGAGAGGCTGTGCTATGTTTATGATTAAAGTTGTGGAAGAGTGGTTGTGGTTGGCTAAGATAGAAGATACTAGAGACTGAGGGATTTTGGAAGAGAGAGGGCTGCCAGCAGTGATGCATGAGGGAGAGATGCATGGAGGTTGAAGGTGAGCAGCGAGGGTTATGGGGAGTGAGGTTAATTCTGGGAAGGTAAAGAGTAACTGGTGACCGTTGAAGTGCTAATCAAGTATGGGTAAATAAATCAAAAGAGAATGTTGAGGTTGGGAATTCTAATGAGAGAAAGTGGGACATAAGGTTTTGTAGGCTTCTTCTGGAAGAAGAGAGGAGGGCCACGTGATCATGGAGAGTATGATGTGGCTAGTTTGTGCAATAATTGCAGCGACTAGGGCTCTGTTGCGTTGTGGTTTGAACGAGTTAATGGATTTATGGGATGTATGTATGTGGATCCAATCTGCAAGCCTTTATCACTTCTTTTCAAAACAAAATGTTCAATTTAATTGGGATGATTATTTTTTATTTAAGTTTAAACTTAATTAAATAAGATTGATCAAGCATAAATTTAAAGTTGAGTTTTTTTCAGTTAATTAGAGCGCATATTAATCAAGTCGACCTGATTGTGCTTAACTTCACAAAAGTAGTGTAAATTAATCCATTGGATGGCTATTCATGTTGAATTAGTTAATCCCGTTTTAAGGGTAAACAATATGCTCCTACCAAATGTCTGTTTAAGCTCTTTCTAATCTTGTTTAATTCCAAAGTTTTTTATTGATGTACAGCTAGCTACCTATCAGCTTGTTTTGTGGAGCTCTAGGTTGTTTTCTTTGTTTGTGACTTGCTTATCAATTTTTTTTGAGAAAATCTTGGAATAAATGCATGGTTGCTTCCCTATTTCTTCCACATTTGGCTATTCGAGCCTGGCAACCTTTTTTGTGGCATCTAATGGTTCTTCTTTCCCACCGAACTTCATCTATATATCAAGTCCTGATTTATTCATGTTTGAGTGGTAATCTTCTGTATAAGCAATTGTTGCATCCTTTTTTTGAGATATTATAATTACTTCTAATCATATTTATCTATTGCTAAATATAAGTTTTGAATTTCTGAGAAGTAAAGCTGTTTTCTTTGTGTTGTTAGACTGTGCAGATTAATGATCGGTCACAACTATTATGGGTTGGTCCTCTTCCTGGTGATATTGCTGAAGTTGAGGCATACTGTAGGATCTTTAGAGCAGCAGAGCATCTTCATGCTTCATTAATGGAAATCATTTGCAATCCAGAGACTGGAGAATGTCCTGTTTCTTATGAGATTCCGTCTGAGGATATGCTTTTCTTGGAAGAAACGGTGGTTGCAGTGCTTGCCTGTATGTTGGCATTACTTAGTAGAAGCAGAGAAGAAGTGTTATCTGGAAGGTCTTCTTTGGTTAATTCATTTCAAGCTGCAGCTATTAATACTGCAGATGGTAGGCTTCCACCACTTGCTCTATTCAGAGATGAAATGAAAAGTTGCTGTGAGAGTTTAGAAGTTGCACTTTTAAACTATTTAAAACCTTTTGAAAATCCTAGATGTAACATCTGGAGGCGATTACAGAGGCTAAAGAATGTCTGCTATGATGCTGGATTTTCACGCAGAGAAGATTGTCCCAGTCCAAAGATTTTTGCAAACTGGGCCGCTGTTCTCTTCTCCACCATGAAGGAAGCCATTGTGTGGGACGATCATGTAGTAGCTTTTTGGAGAGGAGGCCAGGTAACCGAGGAAGGCCTCGCTTGGTTACTAGACAAGGAGTTTAAAACTATTGTTGATTTGAGAGCAGAGGGATCCATGGATGAATTCTACGACTCTGCTATAAAGCAGACTGTTTCATCTGGGAAGATAGAGCTAATAAATTTGCCTGTTCAACCTGGAACTGCTCCATCTATGGAGCAAGTTGAGCAATTTGCTCTGTTGATATCAGATCCCAGAAGGAATCCACTTTACCTGCATAGTCAAGAAGGAGTTAATAGAACTTCTGCTATGATTTCGAGATGGAGGCAATATATTGCACTTGCTGAAATGAATTCTGCTAAAAGGAACTCTCTAGCATGTGATTTTAAACCATTAAAAGCTGTGAAAGGCTTGGAAGGTCAGAAATTGTTTGATATAATACCTATGAAAGCACAGGGAGGCACAATTCTAGATGCTGAAAATGATTATGGGCTTGCTGCAGTTGAACATACTGCTGGAAAATTCAAGGAACAAGATATATCAATTAGTCAAAAGGACAACGTGAATGAAAAACTGAATCCTAATCTGACCTTCATGCATAACTCAGTGCGAAGTAGTGATGTCAATGGAGCAACTTCACATTATTCTCTTAAGAATGATCCTTTCAAAGAACAACTTCCCAAGTGTGATTTTTTTTCTAGAAAGGAAGTGACTCAATTTTTCCAAAGCAGAAAAACCTCTCCCAAAACCTATTTTAATTCTTTTAGGAAAAAGTTCGAGGATGCATGTATTTCAAGAAAGACATACACTCCTACAAATGCTTATATATCTTGGTGGATGAAGCCAAGAAGTTCTGATGGACAACCTGAAAATAAAGGTCATGAATATGGAGCTAGCCATACTGTTTTGGGCAAAGAAGAAAATCTCAAGTATAGGAGTTCTTTGTCATTGAAATTGGCTGCTAATGGTCATCATGACAAAAAAAGTTATGCAGTTGCAGTTGATGAACCCATGGTTTCTTTTTATCCAAGTAGCTTCAGTGATCAAACTTTATCTACTCTCACAGACAGACAAATTTTGGAGAATGGTAAGGTTTCTAGTGGGTTAACCGGTGATGGTTTGGATCTGATGGAGGGCAATATGTGTGCTTCTACAACTGGTGTTGTAAGGGTCCAATCAAGAAAAAAAGCAGAGATGTTTTTAGTCCGAACTGATGGATTCACTTGCACTAGAGAGAAAGTAACAGAATCTTCATTGGCTTTCACACATCCAAGCACCCAGCAACAGATGCTTATGTGGAAATCTCTTCCAAAGACCGTACTGCTATTGAAAAAATTAGGGCAAGAGCTTATAGAGGAAGCTAAAGAGGTTGTTTGTTTTTATGAGGCACTTATTATATTAGCTTTTCGTTAATTGTTATTGTGCAAGAGCAAAATGTAATTTAGGCGATCTTATAATCCTGTATTATATGCTTGATTGATTGAAGTGAAAATTTATAATTACTGCTCGAACCATGGTGCCCTCAAATTACTTCAATTGGCGACCATGTAGCATGCTTGTAGTAGGCTTCTTCTCATAGCTAGTATTCTAGTAGTTCTTTGTCTATGCCCAAATATGAGCATAGGAAGTGCTACAGAACTTATGATGATTGATGATAAATATTTTAGGATGCATAATTTGAACCCATCCAAAAGGATCAGACGCAATAATGAGCTAAATCTCTGTGCTAGTTCAATGTAGGAACGATGTATATCATCTTGGATGCTTGTTGTGGTAAATTACTTGCAGTTGAATAAGATTGGTTAGTCATTACATGTAGGTTTACATTTTTAATTATCTTTAATTTGTATATTTGCTTCTCTTTTTAAGATTTTAGTTGAGTCACTCGCATCATATTTTTGTGTTTATATCAACATAACTGGTGGGCCATTACAAGAGGAGCCATCTTTTGGTATTGTTTTCCTTTTGAGGTCCATCTAGGGTGTCAAACAAGCTTGTTGTTCATGATCAACTCGTGTTCGACTCGTTAAGTAGCTCGAGTTTGACTCGTTTGTTAAGTAAACAAGTCGAACACAAACAAATTTTATAAGCTCGAATTATTAATGAGCCGAACAAGACAACGCTTTGTTCGATTTTGTCCGGCTCATTTTAGCTCGAAATAAAGAAACTATAAATATTATTTATATAATAATATATTATATTATTTATATTATAATATATTATATATATTTTTATGTAAGTTTAAGTCATAACAACTCGTGTGGTCATGTGGTTTTGCATCTTCTATTGCACAGAGTTGGCAGATTCGAATCCAATACTCTACATCTATTTTTTTTCAATTAATTTTAACGACTCAATTTCGAGTCGAACATGAACAAAAATATTTAAATCGAGCCAAACACAGACATGTTGTTAACGAGCCAATTTTGAACACAAGCCGATTTTGAATATGAGCAATTTTGAACGAGCCAAACATGAGCCAAGCCCGAGCTCGCCCAAGCTTTTCTCGTTTACAGCCCTAGTTCCATCAGGTCACATCTTTTGCATTTACATCCATTCCAAGGGATCAATATTGTGAAGTTTCAGCCTAAGATTGTCTCATGAGCCTATACGAACTTGATTTTCTTGACAATGTAGCTGTTTAGGGATCAAGTTTCATTGATTTTAATGGTGGTTTAGCCATTCATGAAGCATACGAATGATTCAAGGATAATTGAACAATATATAGAATCCTTTTTAAAATCTAGTTATATGCATTTATTTACACAATGGCAAAACTGTTCAATACAACTAAGATACCACCAACGATGCATTGTTTGATTCCAAGCCATTTGAATTCTCTGTACCTTGAAATTGCAATTTTCTTCTAATCCAATCAAAGCTATTGATTTGAAATTCATGATAGATCTGATGTATGAACACATGATCTTAAGAATTCTATCCGAAATAGTGGGAATTTATTAGATCCAGTTAAAGGCCTATGAAAAATAGAAGGCATCCTGCTGACATCTTGTACTCAGTTGATAATCTTAGGAAAGAAATGGGTCTACTTTTCTAGGGGACGAATAGAAATACTTAATTTATAATATAAAATTTTGCTCACGCAATAAAGTTCTTCTTGTTTATCGTGATTTACCTTTTTTTTTTCTTTTTTTTTTTCTTTTTTGGAATGCTTTGTTATTTGTCCTCTATTGTCATTTGCAGGTGGCTTCATACCTCTATCACCAAGAGAAAATGAATGTTCTTGTTGAACCTGATGTGCATGATGTATTTGCAAGGATACCAGGTTTTGGCTTTGTCCAGACTTTCTATATCCAGGACACTAGGTACCAAAATCAGTAGAAGAACTTAGAGAGGGATTTATAGCTTGTTAAATTTTCAATCTATTGCTTACAGTTGCAATTGTTGCAATGCAGTAACCTTCATGAGCGAGTTGATTTTGTGGCATGCTTAGGAGGTGATGGTGTAATTCTACATGCATCAAACCTATTTAGAGGCGCTGTTCCTCCTGTTGTTTCCTTTAATCTTGGATCTCTAGGATTTCTCACATCACATTATGTAAGTTCTTTCTTTCAATTGTCCATATTAAAGTTTCACTGATGCAATACTTCTCTAAACTCCAATTCTCTACTGTCGTACAGTTTGAAGATTTTAGACAGGATCTGAAGGCAGTAATACATGGAAACAACTCACTTGGAGTTTATATAACTCTCAGAATGCGCTTACAATGTGAAATATTACAAAATGGGAAGACTATGCCTGGAAAAGCAATTGATGTTCTAAATGAAGTCGTTGTGGATCGTGGTTCTAATCCATACCTATCTAAAATTGAGTGTTACGAGCATAAACGCCTGATAACAAAAGTACTACAGTTGGCTCTTTTTCTGTGACTATTTTAGCTTCTTCATTTTATTTTCATTATTTTGGTGTTGGCATCTTCATCAATATTTGTGCAAATGAATTGTGTTTGTGATAGGCTTTAAGACCTTGGCTTGCTAGCATAAGTTCTACTGTTCATCATTTAATTTAAATTTTACTTTAGAATGTTCTTGCATCTTTTCTATAAATTCAGTTTTTATTCTCAGATTTAATGACCTAGTTACCATATCATAGCCTTTAGTTTTAATTCCTATTTTTAAATGTTGTACACACTCTTTGATGTCCATTATAAAATTTGGAATAAAATAAATGATAGCTCCATTATCGTTCATATTTATTCCAAATGATCCAATTATTGATTTTGCTAAATCACTCCATCTATTATCAAATAATATGACTAGAGTTTTTGCTCCTAAGAATCATCACCGATTTCTACACAGGATTTAGGACAAATAATAACTTATTGCAAGAACTTCAAACACTTGGGTTGAATACAAATATAAGCACCTACAATTCGAGAGGCAGGCGTTCTCTCCCAATTCATACATTTCGACAGGTAGGAAATCTCTCACCCTATGGCTCAAGCCCAATCTCATATGTCCCCCTAAACCTAAACATAGTAGCCCTATTGATACTAAATAATAATAAATGACAAAAGACAAAATTGCCCTTAGGTGCACAAAAGAAAATTGCCCTTAGGCAAGACACCGACGTAGCAATACTCTCCTCCCAAAAGACATATTGTCCTCAAGATAATAAAATGTTATTGGATTAGGTCGTATGACTCCCACATGACGTCATCATCTGAAAATTATTCCATTTAATCAGAAACTTGCAGTGACCCTCACCGCCTCGAAATGTCATCTTGTGGACATCCTTCAGTCTCATCTAAATTTGATAGCACCCTAACTTCCAGTCAATTCAGGAGAATATTGCCGCCCCAAACAACTCATCCAGTAGTTTATCGATCCCTGTAATCTTTGTCAACTCTGTATCATGTCTCTTCCATGATATGTGACATGATCACGAGTCTCAACTGTATGCCCTGAATAGTTCGTATAGCCTTCAGTATCAACAACATCTCACACGACCTTCTTAAGCCCATGACAACATGAAAATTTTCTTTGCTTCTGCACAATTTGGTATTAGAGTTGAATGATCTTTGAGTTCATTCAAGAATTAACTCAACACTCCTTCCCCATTTTTACTCATCTTCCTTTCCAATCCTAAGCAAAATGATTATCTATTTGTCCCTCTATTCTATTTCCCCTTTAAAAACCCTAAAAAAAATTTTGCTCATCTCCACCCAACAATGTTCACCGCCATTACCATTACATCACCATCACCATCCCCATCCACCCTCTTCAAACGACTAGAAAACCATTCAGAACCATGGACATCTCTCTCCCAAACAATCCCACTAGTCCCCTCCTTGGTTAAACCTAAATTAGTCTTGTTTTGATGTTATGATTTCTTTCTAAACAAAAAATTATTATTTTATTATAATTGGGCTTAAAATCCTCGCAAACCCTTTAAATATTTTCTTTGAATCCCTTTAACAAATACAATAATTGAACTAGTTATAAAAATTTCTTTCATATCGATCTCTGATTCTCTTTCTATTTTTTGGCTTGAAATAAATTTCATAAAATTTTACTTTAATACCCAACCAATTCAAGGAGATTTCTTGCCACAAGAGAGCTATAAAAAGAAAAAATTAAATAAAAATAAAAACTGTTGAACGCTTGATTGGACTCCTCCTTGGATGCTTAGCTTGCTTATTTCAAACCCTCAAAAATCTCATCTTAATCCCCACATTTTCTTTGGATACATCCTTAATTTAATTTTCTTATTTTGGGCTCATAGTATGATATATCTAAATATGATTATTATAATAAATTTAATATTGATGACACCGATGATAAAAAAAATCATCTTATTCTCATGACTATCATGGCTTCTATGATGATCCTTATTATGATCAACATTATAAATAATAGGTGCCAAAAATTAAGCTTCCTCTAGTCCCATTTTGATAATGGCTCTCATCCTTCATATTATCATATTATTCATATTTTACCTATCATTAAACATGTTATAATATTAGCCGAAGTTATTGGTCTTCACTAAAATTTCATGGCGTTTTGTATTTAACACATACCGTAACCAAAAAATCTTGATGAAAGCTATAATATAATGATGATTATATTAGATTAGTGCCTCAAGGAACTTGAATGGACTAATTCATTGTTCTATCTAGCCACTTCAATCTTAAAACTCTGCCAAAGCGTTTTGAAGCTGGTTGTGTTTTGTAGTGTGCGTAGATAAGGAAAGCAAAATCCAAGTGGGGGGGGAAGTGGGCGCCGGTGCCTTTTTACGGCCTCAAAACATTGCATTGTGAAAAGACTTCGACGAGAAGGTTTTATTGAAAACGTTAAAAAAGACAAAAAAAATTTCTTGGTTTCAAAACCAGTTCTATTACCTCCTCTTCGTGTACCTAAATCCGAGTGTGTTGGCGTGGTTGTGTCTTGTTTTGTTTGAGATTGATATTTAACATGTGATTTTGCTATTCTAAGGTGCATTTAGTCCATTATCGCACTCTTTAGCTTGTATTTTTGTTCAGTTCATCGTAGTTGACTTTACTTGTCTGTTCAAATTACCAATACATTACTATATAGGAGATCGTACCTAGTGGCATAATCTGTTGAGATGTCTAAACTCTCCACATCTTCTTGTTAAACAAGTTATTACATAGTTTCCTAAACTTTTGTTCTTTTCACTTTGTAGAGTTCATACCACACCACCCTCATATCATCGCCATAATGTCATAGGATCCCTACTCATATTGCTTATCTGACAAATGTTGTATGTCCCCATCTTGCTTTGAAGCCCCTAGCTTCTTATTGCTAATCAAGTCAGACAACTCCATGGGAGAGTACTTCGCTCTCCGTCGGAGTTGATATGGGACATAATTATTGGACATTTCATCACCTACCTTATTTGGCCCTTTTATATTTGAACATGTTAGAATCTATAATATTAGAATTCTTTATATTATATATTAGCAATCAAGTGTATTTTATGTAAAGGAATTATTTCAAAAGACTGGCCTTTTGTAAAGGAGGTTCATAAATTATTGGGAAGGAAACACTTTATTAGAAAGGTGCTATGAGAATTATAAATATTCCTTTCCCAAAAAATCATACAATAGCTTTTTTACAACTACTACATTTTAATAGTCCTTGTTTCAAAAATTAGTTTTATATCATAGAAATTTTTGGCAGTCAAAAACACAACGCAGGCATAAAGCTGCCTCAAACTGACCCTTAATGTTATTGAATACAACATATTTGTTAAGTGTGTTCAATCCTTCTCTCCTAGGATTGACCAGCTCTTCCCTCCTCTCCTCTCTCCCTTCGATAATTTTCATCTGTTTTTCTCACTCTCACTCTCTCATCACTTCACCTCTCTTCCTTGAGGCTGACATTGTTTTCTCTTTCCAAACTTTAGAGGACATCTAATATAAGCATCTTACATCTCAAACGCCATGATCAATCAATTTTTATCAAGCCATTACAAACCAAGAAGAGTCCCATTTCTTCATGCACATCAATTTGATCAGAAGTTACTTGATGGAGACAGCAGTTTAACTGATCTACTAGTACAGGTCAGGTTTTGAACCATGCTTCAAAGTTGCAAGATATCAACATAAGCCTATGAGAGTGGCCTACTTTTGGTTTATGCTGCTGTTTATTTTGTACTGTACTGTTATGGTTTCTATTTACTTGAAGTACAGCTTAAATTTGTTTCAAACATTCATTTTGTGAGATACTTGCATGGATAAAGCTCCTGGCCAAGATATGCTACAATTGCCTAGTTCTTCAATTGTTTATCTTTTCTTCATCCCTGTGGTGCTTGCTGTGTTTCTCTGCTAATTCTGTAATGATGTCAGTAATATTTTGTATGTGGTCCATTCACTTCCTCTAGGTGCAAGGTGATGGTGTTATAATAGCCACTCCAACTGGAAGTACAGCCTACTCAACAGCTGCAGGTGGCTCAATGGTCAGTTAATAGTTTTGTTAAATTTTGACTATGTTTATATTACTGCTTCAGAGATTACAATTCATTGTTATTATTCTGTAATTGTTTTTGCTGCTTAGCTTATACATATTGGAGTTGTAGCCCTATATTGGAGACACCTACAACTGCCATCCTTCTTAACTGTTGATTGTAACATGCTTTTAGCAATGCTTTTAAAAGTACGCTTCACGAACAAAGCAAAGAGAAGCGCTTGCTTCTTTTTGTTGAGGCAACCTTCTAGGTGCTAAAGTTAATTTGCAGGTTATTCTTATAATTTCTAAGTTTTTAATTATTATCGCAAACCATTAGAAATTGTGTGAAATTTTAATTTACAGGTTTTGCTTTCAATATTTACTTTAGTTATGTATTATATCATTATTTTTTTATTTTATATTAACTTTGAAGCTATGCTTTATATTTTATAAATGCTAATGAATGTATTTATACATTAATAATTTTGTATGACCTATTAACATTTTGGTTAATAAAAGCGTCACTTCGCTCTGTGTTTTGTGCTTCGAAGTAAAAATAATGTCTTGTGCATAGCATTGCACTTTGCGCTTTGATAACACCGGCTGTTAGTTTGTTCAGCTTCAGATATGTTATCTCTCTACTAAAATGTCTCCATCATTATTGTGGTTTATGTTTCACAATCCATTTATAGCTTTTACATTTTGTACGGTTGTCAGTGGACCATCTTTGTGAAGTGCAACAACTGCTAATGACTTTATGCCCTTTTATTTCTTGAAGGAGAATCTATGCTGTGTAAAATAGGAACTTCTGCTATTTTTTTCCTGTAGTTAAATTAAATGTTTCAATTCAGATTCTGGCTGAAAATTTGTTGTTTCGCACTTACTAATATGATGAATGCACTCTGATAAGACTACCATTATTGTGGCTTATTTATAGGGTGTTCCTTTGGACCAGGAAAATAGCTTTTACTTTATAATACATAAAATAACAAGGTAAGGCAAGGTTGTTCACCTAATGAAGCACCAAAATGGAATAGAGACATGTTTAACCCAACTTGTTGGAAGCTTGCTGGAATTGTTTTCCTGATTAAGTCTGGCACAAAAGACTGAACTTAAGTGGAAAGAAAGTTAAAGAATGAATTCATAATTCCAGCTTCTATGTAGACCTTGCTAGGTGAGGTGAGTATCTTGTTGGCAAACTGTAACATGCCTATAGAAGCAGCATCATTATCTTGATCTTGCAATTAAAAGGGAAAAATAGGCATACCATAAGCATACTACTATGATATTGTCTGAAATTATCGATTAGCTTATTTATAATTGGCTGAGCCATAAAGTCGGTTCCAAATAGTTGGGGATAAGCTAGGTTATGATGATAATGATTTGTTCGCCGGAGCTAAGCAGAATCTCCCCAAAGATGAAATTTTGCTTACTATCAGATAGATTAAGAAACTGTTTATATCGGGTCTGCTTTGGCTTTGAAAAAGGCACGTGACTGTGTTTTCCATGAATTGATGATCCAGCTTTTGTAGCAGTCTTTAAATTCCATGCTGCACAATGTACATTTTATTAATTTATATTAAATCCACTCCACTTTTTGGTTTTGATTCTGCGTGTATATAAAGCAATGTTTCAGGGAATGCTTGCAGTCGAGCTTGTTTGCTGTCCTTAAACTATCTGAGGAGTATCTAAAATTAGTTTTTAGTGTGTTTTCCTCTTTGCAGAAAATGCTTTCTAACATATATACAATAAAATGCAGGTCCACCCCAATGTTCCTTGCATGCTCTTTACGCCAATATGCCCGCATTCACTGTCATTTAGACCTGTTATACTTCCTGATTCTGCACAACTTGAGTTGAAGGTTAGTCTAATATTTCCATTAATTTATTCAATTTTGTTTTTGTTTCTTCTCGTTTTGCTGGAATGACTGCATGTAAAAACAATAATTAGATGATTTTATTTAGAACTTTCTCATTGAAGTCAAGCTTGCTTTTATGCTGTCTTGAATGTTTGTTTTCTTGCTTTAATAGCAACGAATTAGCATTCTGCAAGACATCTTTCTACTAGGTTTTTGATAATATCAATTATCTGCGTGATCCTTGCTACTTATGTCAGACTCTTTTTTTGAACACTCAAATCTTTTCCAGTATCAGAACACTGCATCTTTCTTAATTGCTTCACATTTTAATTCAACTTTAAAAATCACCAGATTCCAAAGGATGCACGGAGTAATGCTTGGGTATCATTTGATGGGAAAAGAAGGCAGCAGCTCTCGAGAGGAGATTCGGTTCGCATATGCATGAGCCAACACCCACTTCCAACTGTTAATAAATGTGATCAGACCGGTGATTGGTTCCACAGTTTAGTTCGATGCCTGAATTGGAACGAAAGGTTAGATCAGAAGGCGTTGTGATTGTAGCGGCTCAACATGTCAAGGAGCTGTTTATTTATTTGTACAAAATCCTACAAGTTACGGGTAAAGGGTAAGCTAATCTCCCTCTTCAGCTTCTCAGCTGAAATTTAAATAGGATTAGTCATCATTTGTTTAAAATTTTAAAAATAAGCGTTTACTATATTAGTTAGTATACAAATCTGTAAATAAGCCGAAGAACTTTTAATAACTCAGTGCTGCATTTTATCCAATGTACAGAAACCGCTTGTAAAGCAACTTGTGAGTAGGTTCAAACTTGTATAATACATGTGCATGCCAAATTTGCTTTGTTGAATTGAATATCGAGCGAAAGTAGGATTTGCTCTGAACGGTGAAGAGGAGGATGATACGAGCAATAATTTTTTTTTTCTTTTAAGGAGACTTTGGTGTCTCTTGGATGTGGGATAAACAGCAACATATTCAAACAGCCCCAAAGTTTACATCATCTTAGGCAATTATAGGCTTGTGCCTATTTTTAAATCAGTGATTTGGTATTATTTATCGGACATGATCAAACATACTGGACATCCCTTGATCTTGATTTTGTAGCACAGAATTAATGTTGTGTTATGCCATATTTTACTGGATATGTATTGCTTTGACTTAGGAGCAGACTTCAATTTGTGCAGTTGTTGCCTGCCACACTCTTTTATTGGTGGCGGATTGAACTCTTTAAGCCGAGCGAAGCAGCGACAATTGTTTTTCGATGATGTCTCGGGTGTGTTTGAGCTTCTTTAAATTACTTATTTGTGGGCAATGATGCGTTCAAATCATTCTGGCTGATGCAGTTGAACAAATTGTTGTTCATGTTACCTGCCAGATCTCAAGAGGCTACGAACGCTTTTATTCCGTTCAATTAAATTGAGGACTTTGTCAGTCAGTTTCAATTCTTTTGTGAGAACCTGTAAGCGCTTGGTATGATCTACTCAAAAACTTCATATAGAAAAGATTAAAAGAATACTTATATATGTAAATATAGATAAGCTTAAAAAATAGAAGAGGTTGGTAGCTTTAAATATAAGCCCAAGGTGGACAGCGGCAACCAAATCTCCAGATAAACTAATGCAGGTAGTATGTTTTATAGCCTACTCGAAGCCTCCTCCTTGAACGAAAAAATATTAGGTCAGGATTCAAGATGCATCTGAAGTCTAAAGTTGGGCGTCGCGTGTCAAGTGAACCCATAAATTTTAATATTGACTAATCTCAATGTACTGTGATGGACCCACTTGATACGTGACGTCCCACCATTAGACTCTGGACGCAAATTATGTCCAGAGTCCCGATATAACATTTGCTCCCCGTGAACTACAAAAATTATTGATTTACTTTGCGAACATGCATCAATTGAAGCATCCAGAACTGAAAAACTTTAGGAAAGACTTCACAATATTAGCAGTGTCTTCTCCATACATAAACTAATAACATTGTTGGCCTTCCATGTCTCCCATAAATGCAGACCTTAACAACGTTAAATTGGTTATAACCATCTATGCAACAAATTAAGAAAGCGATTGACATAAAATCTATTGATCAGAGATCATGGTACAAACTCGGTGGGACGGAAACAGGCAGCAATAGTGGCATTCGACAATACTCAAAGATAGAAGATGAGGCATGTTAGATATAGCCCAAAAGAAATATCACAGAAGGAAAATGTCCACCAAATGAAATATGAGAATCACCAGATTCATCATCCGGTTCTAAATATGTAAAAGCTAATGAAAAGTTATGTTCTAGCTGTACATGATTCATATTATCAAAAACTTGGTGCCATTACTAGGACAATTTAATTTGGGACAAAGAAGATCATTTGCTTCTGCTAATCATCCTGAAGATTCAGAAGCAATCTTTCCAAAACCTCATAAATTGGCACCAATAATCCAAGGCTTGGTCCTTGGAAAAACTAGCACAACAGTTGTGGAAAAAGATTTCAAAGAAACAAAAAATAGGATATGACAGTTCATCAATAAACACATTGCCACATTTTGTAAAAAGCATGAAATCTATTAAAAATAAATGAAATTCTCCATAGAGCTTCGGTCCTCTATAATAATCTCTTCATCATTTTGGTATCAAGCCATCTATTCCGAATTCTTCAATCTTCGTCCTCAGTCTCTTCATCATCCCTGTTTGCTTCGAGGTATCTCCAGCCATTGTCATCTTCTTCTTGATCTTCTTCTGTTTCCTCACTGTCTTCATCTAGCTCTTTGCTTGGCTGCCGTTTCTGTGCGTCATTAGAAACAACTAGAGCAGGACTTGAGCCTCTATGTTTTGCAACTTTAGCAGGTGGAAGTTTCCTGGACAGACCGGTCTTGCCCCTTTTGGAGTGCTTGTTGTTAAGCAAAGCATCTTGCTCGTTTAGATCATCAAACCACGGGTCAATATTGGTAGAACCAATCTTGTAACATTCCTCTGGATTATGCCCAGGATGTTCTTTTCTCAAATGGAGATTCAGCTTATATTCATGAATATAAGCTTTTTCACAGCCTGCAAATGGACAAACATAAGGTCGGTCCGATGGTGTGGAACTCAAGACAGGAACCTTTGCGGCACTGTTGAGTTTTTCTTGTGTTCTCATGTCCACCATTGCATCCTGCATGATGTCAATTAGAAATGGACCCCATTATAAGACAATAGAATATGGACGCAGCTGACACCCTGAGTTTGAAGGAAGAATAGGTATCCAGCAACAAATGTTATTTAAGACAAGGCTGAATTTTACTTTATATTGAATAAGAAAATAGGCTAAAAGACAATACCTTCTCATGCTGAGTCTTGATATGAGTATTCAGTTTGCATTCATGAGTGTATCTTTTACCACATTCTGGATACGGACAAACATGATAGTTTTCAGCTGAATGTGTTTTCATATGCGCCCTCAAGTTGAAGTCCAAAGAAAAGGCCTGCATTAAAAACCTAAACATAAAAAATCAAATAGAAATAGAAATGAAATTGTCGTTTCAATTTGTTTTGTAACATGAGTATGAAGATGATGCCCAATCACATAAGGTAGGTGGGAATCTGCTCATGGCAGTTGATCAAAATTTTAATACATAAAATTCAGAGGATGAGGGATTCTTGCGTCTAACCATGAGTTTAGTGTGAGGGTTAGTGCCTCCATGTTGGTGTTTTTAATAGCATCAATGTGCATGTACAAGTGGTTATAAATGGAAGGTGGAGAACTGAACTATTAAAAAACAGCCAGCTTCATCATTAAATTACAAGTTTCCACTTTCCAACGTTGCTATCTTAGCCACATCTCACTTGCATAAACTCGCATCACCACCTCCCCCCCTTATGTGTCCTGAACAACAGCGCCATCTCCAGAGCACTGTGTGTTCATCTGCCATGCAAAAATCTAAACTCCATGCAAACATAATTTGGCCAAATCTATTAATGACGCGTGATTGAACCAATACATCTCACAATTTGGCTTAATCTAATATTAGTTGAAACGGCACAAAAGATATACTAAAAAGGAGAATAAATACATCCCCCAGCCATGGACTGGTTCTGTTTTCAGCATATATCACCCCAGCAGAGATATTGAACAAAGCTCAACTCACACATCCCTAGAGTAGAAACAATAGACACTACATGGAATCATTCCAGTCACGGCATGTAGCAGCCCTTTTACCTACATGCCTCCCTCCCAGCATACATCTTCAAGGAATCTGCGTTATCTCGAAAGCTCTCAAAAATATTTTTAAATTAATCTTAGAAAAAACAAACCTGTAAATATCAATTAAATGGAAACTTAGAATTTCAAAATAATGCATGGCAAGGAAAGGAGAGAGAATTATATGGAGAGAACACTGGAAACTTTTATAAATTTCCTCGAAAATATTTTTACTTCTAATCCTACATTGCCAATCACAATTTCAAGCAACGAATCTAGACCGGAAGATAACTGCATGTTCCTTTAATCTCTTAAACTTCCTCTTGCCCCTGTTCTTTGTTTCACCAACTTCTACACCTTCAGCCATCGAATCCCCTCATCAGCAGTCAAACTTTTCTTCAATTGCAGCCACAAATCATCCAGCTGCTCCTCCAAATATGGATCACTCTATCCAACCAATAGCAGGGCTATCAGCAGTTCAACCTCAAGCCAATCCAAGCTTTGGCTCAAAATCGGCTCAAAGTCATTCGATGCAATCTTAAGTAGGACAAGTCTGGTTTAGAGTGGCTCAATCCGATGAAGATTCAGGTTAGACTATAAAAAAAAATCACCCATACATATATAGATTCACATAAACAAAAGCATAAATGCATAAAAACATTCATTCAAGCTTAAACATGTACATAAATACGTTTCATCCAATCTTGAGCTTAGCTTGATCCAATTCAAGTAGGGCTAAACTTTGGTTTGATTCATTCCGATTTGGCCAATTGATCTCGATCCAACCAAAAAAAATTATCCAATTTTTTGAAAAACTTCAACCTTTAAAAAAAACCAGTCCTAATTGTTGGATTGTTTTTGCAGGTTGTTGTCGTCTTTGTGACCCAAAGCAAAGAATTCATACATTGCTTTAGGCAAAGAAGCTAAGAATGGTTCATTATACTTCAAATTATCCCTTAAATTTCTAATTTCTCGACCATAATACTTTTATTATATCATATAAAATTTTTGTACCCAAATTTTTGAATATATATTTGTATTAGGTAGTGCTTCAAATCAAAATGAAAGTTTAAGGTTAAATTAAGAATAAAGTATACACTCAAATATAATTATATGGAAACTATGGTCTATAATTATGAGAAGAGATTACATACAGTTGAACATCTTTTCAATGGAAAAGAATAAATCGCCGCAACAATGGTTTCCATTGAAACTCTTGTTGCCAACCATTGGTGGTCAGATAACACAGAAATAATCCACGACACCATTTGAACAAAAATGAGACCTCTAACAAACAAAAACACTATTAAAGAGAGGCCATTGACTAGTCAGCCACTGACAAAAAGTCAACCATAGATGAAGAAAAAATAGAAGAGAATAGGAAGATCTTCCAGAGGTAAACTTGGAGTTTCCTTTGACAAAATTGTCAAATCTGAGTTAATAGGCAATTGGCTCGAGCTTCTAGAAAAATATTTTACGACTTATGATCATCAAGAATGAAAGAAAATTACATCTGTTCATTTGAAATTGCCCACACATGCTTTAGTGTGCTAGAATTCAATCATTATTGGCACGATCTTAGTTTAAACGGCTGTCACAAAACTGAATTCCAGCTAACAAAAAAAGATAGATGCAATGATAAAGTTAAAGAAACAAGCAGATTATTGAATAAAATATAGAAGGAGACCAACTGATCTAGGAATTTACCAAAAAGATTTTGTATTTTTGAAATAAATGGCAAGGTTTCATAAAAACCTTCACATGGAATATAGAATTGAGCCTCTTTCCATTTGTTGATATCCTTAAAACTAGCAAAAAAACTATGGCAAAAGGGTAAAGAAATATCATTATGAACAAAAATCACGTCTTCTAACTGCAAAGAAGAATAAACTAAAGTCTCCAGCACATATGAGAAATATACTAGACTACCATGTCGTAGCTGCAAAAGCCAAGGTATAAACCTAGTGATGGTAGGAACTTGCATCCAAAGAAGAGGCCACGAGATGACCCTCATTACAACTTCATAAGAAGAAAATAAAATAGGATTACTAAAAATAGATCCTACATTGGCCCAGATGTTGTATTCACGCGTCAGTGGGAAGCTTTAGGTAAAATCTACTCTCACTGATGGTCTTTTGGATCAGGTTAAAGAAAAAAGATCTTATAGCTTTGGTAGAAATTTTGAATCTAGCAACTACCATCATCCAAAACCTAATGACGGTACTTATTTCATTGGGTTGGTCTTATAGCTGTATAGTTCTTATTTAAGATATGAAGATCTAATCTTCTTCAGAAACTAGTAAAAATGTGTGCTTGTAAATGGAATAAAGTACAAAATCATTTCACCTTCAGAGAAGATTGAAGGTAACATAAAATAGAGGATCCTAACCGATGGTCAAGAACTCCCTTTCTTTTAAAAAGTACAAGAAGCATCATCTAGTTGTTGATATGCATCAAATTAAGAAGAATGAACCCCACTCTATTGAGAAGCTCTTCGCTAAAACAAGAATGAAAAAGACCCAAAAATAAAGAAAAAGAAAAAAGACCCAAAAAAAAAGATGTTTCCATTTGCATGAACAAATGACCAGAAATGTGGAGTCTGGACCCAAGATGAGATGGCATTCAGTTTTTTAAACAGCCGCCTAAGCTAAATGTTATAAGGATTTATGATGATTTCGCCAATCATATTAATAAAGGACCTTATTGATGAAATATTTTCTTTAAGCTAAATGTTATAAGTATTTATGATGATTTCGCCAATCATATTAATAAAGGACCTTATTGATGAAATATTTTCTTAAAAAAGCATAATTAGTCAAATGCTAAACAAAAGACTACCCCAAACCGCTTATTCATTTATTGTCTGTTGTTTAAAAACTAGCTCACAAGAAGTTCAAAAAATGTACAACTAGTGAAGATTTATGTGTTTTTTAATATCATATTCTATATTATTATATTAATTTTATGTATTCTATGCAACTTAAAAATTATTTATTTTGCTAGAAGCTCAAGTAGAATGAAAACATTGAAAAAAATAACCATATGGACAAAAAAATATAAATAATTTTAATTTTTATTACAATTTGATAATAAATTATTACAGAAATGCTGGGTGGACAGATTAAAACAATCAAATTTTATTTTTTTAATTGACATTGCATACTGAAAATAATAAATGATTAGTTAGTTGGATACTTAAATGATAAATTTATTATTCATAAAACATGGAAATAAAATTTATTGAATCTTATCAAATAGACCAAAAAGAAATAAATTTACTTTAAATAATAAAACAATTTTTGCAGTATTAGTATCCTAAATATAGATACTTAGGCTCAATCATGGCTCCCACTTGATTAAAAAATTAATAAACAAGCTTGAATGATTCGGAAACTCAGGTCGAGTTAAATAAATGGATGATCTTAAACAACGTAGTACAGCTTAACACAATTTATCCCTAGCTCTGAGAACTCCACAAAGGCACAAACTAAAGGTAAGGTAGCTCAAAATTATGAAAAAAAACATAATTGATATAACACTTAATGAAGTAATCAACAAAAAAATGAATGAAGAAGAATGACTGATGAAGAAGACAGAAAATAATTAGAAAAGGAGCACTAATCATGACAATTTGAAAGATCATGAAATTGGTTCGACACTTCAAAAGCAAAAAGAGTAAAATATGGCGTTAAAAAAGTACATTAGATAATTGAACTTTGCTCCATGCTAAATTGAACAAAATCAGCGTAGCAACTAGTAGTTTTCGCTACATCCTTATGCTCTAGAATCCCTCAAGTAAATGTGTGTTCCTTAATAAAATTATCCAAATGAATCTACCGATATTGCCTTTCCCTCCATATGCTTTTCCTCAAAGCACCCTAAACTACTAAGCCACTCATAAACAATTTTCCTAATTTATATTTTCCTTAATCTACTAAGTTATCTATACCATGCAACTTATTAGCTTAACACTAGCTTACGTTCACCATTGTTTTTACCATATTTGGCAGCCGTACAAACAATAGAGCAATTGAGTTGCAAAAATGGGAAATTTGGTGCAGCGCTAGCACTTAAAAGTATTTAGAATAGAATATTGAAATATAACTTATAATTTGACAAGCCTACCCTGCAATCAGTCGACAAATTAGGAAGAAAAAAGAAATTAACCGTCAGCACATAAAACTTAGTGCTATAGCTAATTAAGAGTGGAAAAGACAATCACCTTACCACAGCCTTCATATGGACAATAATGACTCTTCTCTCCAGTATGAATAAGGTTATGCCTCTTCAACTTGGAGCTGTCCAAGAATTTCTGTGACAAAGAAGAAAAGAAATTCCATTCAAAAGCCAAAAAAAAAAGCTAAACAAAATGTTGATCAGTTAGGAAGGCCATGCAGTTTGCACCTCATATTTTCCCAAATATCAACAGGTAACCTTAGTAATGGAATGAAAACATAAAGCACGATTGAAACAAATCATTTTTTTTGGTTGATTTCTCCTTTTGATTTACAAAACAACATTACATTTCAACAGCTGCGGTGGTAACTTGGGCTTTGTGCAAACAGAATTTCCACAAAAGGAACTTCACGACAGGTTCAGCTGCTTCAAAATGGCTCAAACAAAGTTTTAAAAGGCGGAGACATAAGATGATGTTATTGCCTATCACGAGACTAGTGTAAGGCCCAGTTTACCGATTGAAAGCCCCGTAAACTTTATATTTAAAAATTTTATAAATAGAAATATATGATTAAAAATTAAATATTAAAAAAACAAAAATAAATCCCACAATCCAAACTCAATAACCATATGATTCAACCACCAACAGTCGTAAAAAGGCCCCTATGACAGATGGAAACATGCAGCTTCTTTGATGCACCATTCTCTTCATATAATGAAAAGCAGCACCAACGAGTGATTATGACATGAAGACAGCCAGCACTGGCCATGCTTATGGCTTCAGCAACAAAAGTGGCATAAGAGTTAAAGCTGTGGCAAAGACGAGCAATGACTCAACAATGAATATGAAGAGCGGCGAGTGAGCCTAGGCAATTTAAGTGAAAAGCCAAAGACAATCATGAAATACACCCTAAGTAAATGAAAAAAGTTCAACTCAGGGATTCAATGCTCCATTTTGATAACTTAACTCTTAAGAGATTAAAATGAAAATATTTTTTTTTTTCATTCAAATATAGTAAAGCTAGTTATAATATGTAAAAATTTATTAATTCTATAATTTGATTAATATCCTAAGGCTAATGGCTCACCGACTAGGTGCTAAACGCACGTCTGACATTGAATCTTCACCGAGAAGGAGCAAACCCAAAAAGTTTAATGCCTCCTTTGGAAGCTTTATAAATTGTCTTGTGCCTCCCAAAAGGAAGTCCAAGATGCTTTTAGTATACAGTCATTATTACATTTATATGCAGTATAAGTGACAACAATTATAACATGAATAATTTTTTTACAAATACCTAGAATATTTTCTTAAAAATTGGCATTTGATACTAATAAATCATATGACCTTTCAGGGTCTGTTTGGAGGAACAGGGTCCCTGCGGCGCGGCGTCCAGACGTGAAATCCAGTCGTTTGGCACGACGTTGGAAGAGCGGCGCCCCGCGATTTGAATCAAACGCCGACGTATAGTAACCCACTTCCCAGCTTCCTCACGCGGCTTTTTACCCCGTTACACACCCGAGAAACTTTTCGCACCCTTCCTAACCCGTGATATCTCCCCTTTCCTCCTCCGACCGGTTCCATCGCGTGGCAAGATCGCAGACGCAACACTCTCCCCTTCTACTTCTCTTCAGCCTAGACGTAATCTTCAACCAATTTCGATCTGAATCCCTTGCAAGAAGTCGCAGGCACCGAATAAGGTGAGAAACTACTGGCATTGTTTCGTTTCTCTCCGATCTATTTGGTGTTTTGTTCTAAAAAGATAAAAAGATGGTTGTTTTGCTCTGTGAAAAGGAAGAATATGAGTTCAGTAAAGAATGTATATTTCCAAACCATACTTATATAGAACTATCTCCTAATCCTTCTTGTTTAGTAATAGGGGATACTATTGCTTTGACTCTGATGTTGTTCTTATGCTAATATGTTGTTGGAGCAGTGACAATTGGCAAGTTGATTGTTTTATTTTTCTATTGTTCTTTATTGGAAAGAAGTAAGGGAGAAGGTTTCAAAAGTTGGAAAAAATGAAGAAGACAAACATGTGAGGGGAATCATATTGATGTCTATGGAACTTTTTTTGCTTCATTCTTTTTATTGAGTGGACATGTTAGTTGATTATTGTTTCTAATCAAAATAAGAAAAGTAGAGGAGGAAACACTTTTTTAAAAAAAATATGACAATGAATAGTGGAGAAGTAGTTGTTCTTTCCTTTAAGGAACAAGAGGAGGTCAAGAAGGAACAACTTTGAGAAGCAGAAAGATTATTTGCAAATTTTTTAATTATATGGATTCTCCTTAAGTACTTTTTAGGTTAAAGGTGTGACGAAAAAAATTGAGTATGATGAACTAACAAATAAATCAAGAACATGAAGGGTAAGTTTGAATGGGTAGAGTAATGATTTCTTTGTTTTTATATTTTGATCTAATCCATATTTATCCATATCATATGGCTATTTAGTATTGTTATGAACTATTACCAAATATGTGCTTTCTAAAACCCATTCTTCAACAACATTATTCCCCTGAATGGACTATTGCAATACTAAATAATGTTGGATATATATATATATATATATATATATATATAGATGCATATGAACAATTTAGATGCTTCTAATCCTTTATCTAAAATTTGATTAGGTGATTAGGAAGTTTTGAGTTTTCTTTTTCGAACGCTTGATTTGATTTTTTGTTTGTTTCTTAGCATTTTTGGTACTCACTGCTAAGCGAGTAGTGTATTTGTACTTTTGTTATGTTTTGAAATGAATTTCTGATTTTGAATTATCAAATATGTCGCTTTCATACTTCTATTTTAAATAACTTCATTATACAAGGGCAGAATGGTCATTTTTCTAAAAACAACTGCCCCACGGTTGTTCACAGACAGCGGCAACAGTCAGGTATCCAGCTTCCCCGAAACAGCTTTCTGAGGCAGCGCAGCTGCAGCTGAAATGCTGAGAAGCTGCAGCTGAAATGTTGAGAAGATGCAGTTGAACCAAACAAAGCCTCAGTTTTTAAAAACTAATCTTAACCATTCATTGACTTACACTAACATTAAATCATTATATTTAAATTCTAAGGGGTTGCATAGAGTTCTAACAGTTAAAAATCAAAGCATAAAAATCATGCATATATGAGGTACGCAAATAATTATGAGAACACTAAAAATTGTGAAGTTTAAATTGTGACCCTTGAATAAATCTATCATTACTCATTTAGAATTATATTATATCTAGGAATTCCATAGAGCCTATACAAACCCATGAGAACATTTTGGAACTTTTGGAACAAAAATCCACGCTAGTTGAGTATGAAAACTCATTCAGATACCATTTTTTCTATTTCAATTTTATTTAGCCACTCTATTTCTCATAAAATAAAGTAAATTTTGCTTGCATTTTTTTAATTTTCAAATTATTTTTCGATTAAAATAAATACTTTTACCCCACAGATGTAATAATTGAATTATATTAATTGAATATATATGGGTATGTGTGTCTGTGTGTCTGTGTGTGTGTGTGTGAATCATTGTGTGTTTTTTAAAATTTGAGGCAACGAATAATTAATTTTATAATATGAATTTAATTATATATCAATATGATCTATAAATCATATAAAATTGTAAATAATTCTATCATGTTTAATTTTATTTTGAAAGTATTTAAACATATATAACACTATATAAAATATTTAAACTTATTTTATTTGTCTTAAACTCAAAAATTGATTAAGAGAGTATCAGATTTAAAGTTAACTAAAATGATTCATCCTTTAAATAAATATTCAAAGAACTCAATTATTTATTGGCGTGGGAGCTATGGAGGACCAATCGGTCTTGAAAGGAAGGAGGGTTGTTGCTCTTCCTTTTTCCTTCTCTCCCCTTCCCCTCTTTCAATCTTAGCTCATTCCTCATGTTAACTAAAATATAAGTCTTTCCAAATCAGAATTTCTAAATAACTTTATTCCTCATTCCTAAATTCTGGGATCGAATTTAATTCTTCCTTATTTTAAAAACATTTTCTAAAAACTAAAATCCGATTTTATTCTCCTTTCTTACTTTAAAAAGCCTTCCTAAAAATTTGAAATATGATTTTATTTTTTTTCTTATTTTAAGTATTGTCCAAAATAAAATCCTAGCCTCATTATAAATAAAAAATGATGTGCTTAGAGCTAGGTGTTCTGTTTTTTATATATAAATTCATGTTTTAACCTTGGTATTTTCCCTTCGATGTTGTATCCAATGTCGAAGTAGTGCTCCGACTGTCCCTCGTCCGAGGTGGAAATCGTCTCTAAGGGTTTAAGTGGTGCTCCGGCTGCAGCTCGACCCCGACGAGGCATTTATCTTACCACACTTCAATTTCTTTGTTGTCATTTCAGAATCCAGCCACAACAGCCCCGTCTTCCACTACTGCCAACCACCTTCCTGCTTCCGTCCAGCCACCGCAGCCCCTCAAACTTGTTGTCCAGCTCTTTCAGGCCCTTCCTAGCAGCCCCTCCAACTTGTTGTCTAGCTCTTTCAAACCCTTCCTGGCAGCCCCTGCAGCAACTACCTTACTGTCCTGGTTTTTCCCATCGCTGTTAGAGATTCCCTGCTTGTTGTCCACACTGTTGGCAAACATTCCTAACTACTTTCCTACTTCCACAGCGCCCCCCACCCCGCCGACCTTCACCGCAGCGGCCAATCTAGCCTCCAATGTTCATGCTTCTCTCCAGCTGCGATTCAACGTTGTTACTATCGCCAACCTATTGTCCTACTTCTTCCACAGCAGGCCCCATCTCTCCAGCCTTCACCGCAGCCACCAATCTAGCCTCTCCTCGCTGGACTCCCTCCTCATAAAGCATGTTGTATCTTCTTTGTTGAGTCATCATTTGTTTTGTGCTTTTGTTTTATGTGTTGACTTTCACTATTTCGAGTTTTCATTGTAACCTTGTTTCGAGTCAGTAGTAAAATTGTGCATTGCATCATGGTTTATGTTAACTCCGATATCATTTGGTATCAGAACTAACCCAACCCTAGTTCTATCATAGGGTTTCTAGCATTCACCCTTACCCAATCCACCACAACAACTTTTTTTTTCCTTTTCTTTTTTTCGTATTACTTTCTTTCTTTGTTCCTTCTTTCTTTCCTCTCACAGATTCCAAAGTCTAACCATGCCACCAAGGAGATCCATGCCCTAGCCCACCCGGGACGAGATATGGCGAGAGCTCCACCGTCTTTAGCAGAGGCTTATGGATAATGAAGAGGAAATCTAGTAGGAGGATACCCTCGACAGTGATCTGGAAGGTCGAAGAGAAGAACGATAAAATATGAATATGAAGAGAAAAACGTCAGTTATTACCACCAAAAGTGGCAGACTCAAGCTTCCGAAGTGGAGAGATCGTATCACCAAGCGACCTCCCTTGTTATTATCCAGCAAAACCAATCTGCAAGTCTGTCACAGCCAGAAGAAATTGCAAGTGTCACGAATTTAGACACGTTGAAGCAAAATATGAACAATCAGGAAAGTGTTCTACATCACCGAGCAGGGCGTCATCGAAATGTTGGGTAAAGACACCGCACACTGAAAAGCAGTTTGAATGAGAATTTTCATCTGATGACGTCTTCTCCCATGGAACCCCCTTGTTCGTAGATAAATCTAATGTATTTCCTCCATGTGAACAAAAGACACATGCAGCTTTTGATGAGATCGTGGTTCCTGCTCTCCTAGAAGATAGAGAACTTTTTGTTGAGACATATAAAAATCATGCAGATCAGAAGATATCAGAATTTAAAATTTCAGTTGATGGTCATAGTAACAACTAATTGATAGCAGCACAGGCAGCTACACTTCCAACCCTTACCCCTAGTGTTCCATATGAAGAGAAGAAATGACAGTGTGAAGTTCTTGTTATTGGAACACGACAGAATATGTCAGTTCTCCAAAACTTCAAGAGTCAGAGGGAAGACCCAGAAGATAATAAGAATCACACATCAACAAAACTCTTGCATCCTCAACCTCGCTGATGCTGAAATTATCATAGATGAGAAGCATATGAGATATTTACTTGTTCAGAATTTGGCTCGGGAACTCAGATTAGGCCAAATTAGAATGAATCGATAGGGAGATCAATTTTTTATTTTTCATCAATCCAAAAGCTTCTCGCTTCTCCAAATTTCAGTTTCTACTATGAAGCACTTCACAGTATTGTTGGAGCTTATGCCAAACGCATTTTTTGTTGAAAAACATGGTGCAAAAGAAAGCTCTTTGTTAAATTGCACTACTAAGGAAGACTTCAGCTCCATCTAGACCCTAACCTGACTAATGCCAAGGAATTAGTTGTACGGACGGGATGGAGCAAATCAGAACCACGAGATGAACCCCCTGAGTTTGGTGCAGCTGCTGATTGTGATGTTGATCATAACATGATACTTGATAAAATGTTCTTTGTGACTCCATTTGATTTTGTTACCATCATCATTGTTAATGTTGTTCATTCCATTCCTTACTTTTCTTATGGGATAAAGGGTTGCCAAGAGCATGCCACTTTGCAGTGCTTGATGTTGTAGCAAATAATCTAAATCTGAACTTTTTTGAGAATCTAATTGGATGGAAGTTCATTGGCAACTTGATGGATGCTAGACTTTGTTCAGTATAGGGTGAAGAAAGTTTGGGACAAGTTCAGATCATTTTCGTGAGAAGGATGAGATCTGGGCAGTCTTAGAATGGCCTTCTATTCTTGCCTACAAGAACAATGACAATCTCAATGGGGGAAAGCTAGTGACTGTAGAAAACATAGTTCGCCGACGCTGGGCTACTTATGGTCGTCAGTGGCATCCAGGGGTTGTTGGCGTTGACATGGAAGCTTTGACCCATAACGACAAAGTTCCCACAACCCCGTTAGACTAAAGTTGAGGCTATGGAGGATCGGCCAGTCCTCAAAGGGAGGGGGGGTTGCCGCTCCTCCCTTCCCCTTCTCTCCCCTTCTCCTCTTTCCTTCTCAGAACATTTCTAAAATAAGTCTTTCCAAATCAAAATTTCTAAATATTTTATTTGTCTTTCCTAAATTCTAAGATCTAATTTTATTCTTCATTCTTATTTTAAAAACATTTCCTAAAATCTAAAATCTTTTTTTTTTCTTATTTTAAAAAGCCTTTCCGAAAAATATGAAATCTGATTTAATTCATTCTTATTTTAAGTATTGACTAAAATAAAGTCTTAGCCTCATTATAAATAGAAAATAATGTGCTTAGAGTTAGGGGTCTTGGTTTTGATATCTAAATTCAGATTTTAACCTTGGTATTTTCCCTTCAAGTGTTGTATCCAACATTGAGGCAGTGCTCTGGTTGTCCCTCATCCGAGGTAGTGATCGTTTCCAAGGATCCGAGTGGTGCTACGGCAGACTGGTGCTCCGGCCGAGTGGTGCTTCGACTGTAGCTCCACCCTGATAAGGCATTTATTTTACCATACTTTTGTTTCCCTGTTGTCATTTCAAAATCAAATTGTTTGATGTCCACGACATTGTAATTCAAATTTTTGCACTATCGTAAAAGGTGAATATTTCATGCTTGTGTCTGACTAGTCACTTCAATGATTTGAACAGCAAAAAGACAAAGCACGACTTAGTTGACTAGGTTTAGAATAAAAGAATCGATAGAATAGCTTGGTTTAGGGCCATAGACCAAAAAAAAAAAAAAACCAGATAATCCTGGATAGTGCGGACAGGTTGTTTAATTATGAGCTGATTGCCACCTAAGACAAACCAAGAACTGCCCAAGCATGGATCATCATGTCAAATAATCCATGCAGAACCAGACTTCAAAGCCAACCTAATTACCCTTGGCAACTTTTCAGTCAAGTCCTTCTAAAAATATTTCTACCAAGCCAAAACCAATTCAAAGAAAAACAAACAAAGTTATGACTTGGTCATACCAAGCTTTAAAGCATTATAGACTTAATCAGTCCCAAGACAGTCCAACCATCGCCTTGTTTTGTAAGCCCCTAATTTACAATTCCTAAGAAACCATAATACAGCATTACCTTCCCGCAGCCTTCAACAGGGCAAACAAATTGTCTCTCTCCATGGATATGAGTATGTTTCCTTAAAGCCCCAGCATCTGTGAATGTTTTTCCACAGCCATCATATGTGCAGAGGAAAAACATCTCAGTAGCTGGTTTAGGCTTTTGTTCTTCAAGCTCAACCTCCTTTGTCTTCTCCCTTAAAGCATTCAACTGGTCCTCTGCATGAATATAAAAATACATTTATCAAGTTAAAATTTTCAAAATTAAAACAATCAAGTAAAGACTTTGTTAAAAAAAAAAGGCATTGGGTAGAATAAAGTTCAAAAAAAAATAGCAAAAATAGAAAAGGAAGGTCATGATTAGAACAAGAAGCATATTAATTGAGGTGCTGGTGCAACAGCATGCCTCAGGTCATTCAGCAAGCAAGAAGGCCTAAGTAACTTCTTACCAAATTCATTTTAGGTAGGAAAATGAGTTTAAGTAGCTTAGTAGCAACTTTGCTTAAGCCACAGGCTCTCATATGAGTGATTTTATTGCCAATTTTCATTCAGCCTTGTTTATGTTAGAATATTGTTTTCTTGGTGCCATAGGATGTGCATTCAAGCACAATATTATATATTTTCAATCATGCTCATTACTTCTTCAATGAGCTATTTTCATCTTTCTTCTCTTCCGCATTCATCATAAAGGGCATCAACCACCCTTAACATTACATTATCTTCTTATAAACCCCATCTTATCCATTTTTCCCACATGTTTGTTGCTAACCACTTGATGTGTTGCATGTAACATAGTGAATAATTTTCCATTTTATAATATAATAATAATTTCTTACTATTTATTATATTTGACCAAATCTGGCATCCTTGATGAACTTTGTACCATTTTTTGTCTTATTTTTGGAATAAGTATTTACAATAGACTTGTTGTATATTAATTTTTATTCTATTACGGCTATAAAGGACTAATTTGGCACCAATTCTTATTTTTATAGATTACAAATGAAACAACCTAAGCCCAAATCTAAGGAAACAAAATAAAATTTTCATTACTAGGCTTACTCTCTATCCCCTTAAAAATAGTTATTGCCTACCTCATAGACAGTAAGCAACCTTGCCCCTTTTACTACTATGGCTACCTTTTCTTTGATGCCGCCTTATAAATAGTTATTACCTGCCTCATAGAAAGTAAGCAAATACATGATTCTTTCTAGCATTGATGTTTATTCCTTGTCGATGGATATTGCATTTTGCTTTAAATGAGTAATAGATTTAAAAAATAGATCACAAAGACCAACTCAAGTAAAGATCATTGATCCTAAGTTCTATTGTTATATGCGGACAAATCAACATGTTTCATCCTCACCAGTCCACATGAATAGATTGTCTGAATCGACTGAAAAAGAAAGGCACTATGTCACAATACCTCCAAGAGTAATCCTAAAATGTCCGACTAGCCAATTAGAATTCAAAATTCTAGTCAGGGAATTAAAGAAGGTATTTTTGGCTAACTCTGAAATTCAAATCAAATCAAATAGCACTCCCAGCATAATGCTGTTAACGCAAGCATCATACAAGCAATGACTTCAATATCATACACAGCAAAGTAGCAGTACTGCTCAATAAAGATTTGGGCTTGCAGCTTCAGAATTAACATAACTTCCACTCGCAACAACAACTAAAGCCCAGTATCAGGTGCAAAGATAGTCCTTTTAAAAGTTCACAGAATAACTTGGGCTGCTGCAATCACTTTCATTCAAAAAAAGCAATCAAAAAGAAGGATAAAGGAAATACTCAGTCTCAGGGCAACTTTCTATTCCAGCATTAATCCCATTAAATACATTAATAAAAATAACAGCATGTTAAACTAATAACCTTAAAGAAACAAGAAGAAAAACATGGAGAATGTTGCCCAAAAACCCATGAATTCCTTCTCAGAACCAAATTATAAAAGGTTAAAAAAAAAAAAAAAAAATAAAAAAAATCATTCAGAAGGGTATCAGAAACTACTCGACACACCTGTAACCCATTTGAGCAAGAAGCACCTCCCGCCGGTAGCAACCACATCCTGCGGAACCCTAAACACATACACGCAAAGATAAACACAGAAACTCCGACAAAATAAAATTAAAAAAAAAAAAATAGCCGAGAAGAGCGCGCACCACTCCCTTACCCACCGAACGGCGGGTCTCCTCCCCTTAGGATCCAACCTCGACCGATCCTCGTAAGACTCCATCGCTGCCGCCGCGATAACCTCTCCCCCAGCTCGTTCCGCCTTCTATCGTCGAAAATTGTGGCTAGGGTTTCGAAGAAGGGGCGCCGGAAGACGATGGGTTGGTCATGGGGAACTAGGTTGAGGAAAAAAAGGAGAACCGTCGAGCTCAAATAGGAGCCCACGAGATGCGGATCCATTAAGAGAAGGGAAAAATCGCCATGAATCGATCCTTCCTTCCACACCCCCATTGTCCAATCCCATGGCCTTTGCCTCTCGCCATGCCAGTTGCTATCGGTTACGGATAGGTTTATGCAGCGATTTTGCTCATACCGTAGACTAAACGAGTCAGATGACCCGATTTATACCTGCATCATAATTGTGTCATTAGAACCAGCCATAGGCTCATTAGGCTCAACCAATTTCATTTGGTTCGTGTTCTGCTCGTGTTTGAAATAATTCGTTAAAGGTTTGTTAATATTCAATGAAGTAAACTTAGGGCCCGTTTGGGCAACTTATAAGTGCTGCGGCGTTTTTGAAAATGTGGTCTAACCGTTTGGTTTGCACGTTTTTGAAAACATTGTCTGTCGCATTTCAATTTTTTACACTAAACGTAGACTGCGGGTCTACAGTCGCGGTCGACCTGCGGGCCGCGTTTCAGGATAAGCCACTTATTCTTAAACGCATATGCTGTCCCGAACAGACTCTAATTTGTTTGAATTAAATTCGTGTTTGGTTCAAAATAATAATTTCTTAAAATTTAATAAATTGAATAATATAATTAAATTATAAATTAATATTGTATTTTAAAGCTCTCTTAAAAGATAATAAAATTAAAATAAATTTGCAAGCTGGTTTTATAGTTTTTCTTTTTTTACTACATTTACATATCCAGTACAAAAATTTTATTTTTTTTTATGATCTTAGCTAAAATTATTTAAAAACTAATAAAATTTAATAATTTTTAAATACAAGAAAAATTTTTAATATATAAATATTTGCTAATAATATTTATGTACTATTTAATTAATTTCAGTCAAATTTAGTCTAACACAAACAAATAAGTAGTTGTTTGTGTTCTGCTCGTTGGTAAATCCATGTCAGAAAGATTGTTCATGTTTGCTCGTTTGTTTAATAAACGAATTGAGCACAACCTACTTAACAAGACGAACATGAGTTGTTTATGAACAATGATTTTTTTGACATCTCTAATCACAACTATATAATTTACATTCAAATTATAAGATTTTTTTTTTTTTGAAAAAAATATTTCAATGAATATTACTTTTAAGATTAATGATACGCCATCAATAAAATCTCATCATTTGCCACGAATTTTAAGACATTTTACATAAATCTCTATATAATTTTTTCGAAAAAAAATGTTCAAACTTCAATTAAAAATCATTTGGAACTCGAATTTCAACGAACTTATTGTCATACTGACCTGCTCGACAAGTCAGACGCAATGAAACCAAATTAGTTCAATCTATGTCAAATCAAGTTCAGATTAAGTCATTTAACTATTTTTTAAGTCTTTTGTGCTCAATTAGAAGGTCAAATAGATTTCAAATTTGACAAACTCATAATCAAATTGGGTCAAATGGATTTCATACATCTTTAAAGTACCCGAATGTCCAAAAAAATCACAGTTCAATTGATGAGATCTATTTGGGTCATCTAATGGAGTTGTCTGAATTATTTATTTATTTACATGGAGGTCTCTCCCATACTCTATAAATAGAGCATTATCCCCCTCATGAACAACATACCTAAGCATTGAACGAGAAGAAGACCAAAGCTTGGATGATGATGTAGAGAATGGGCTGAATTTTGATGTCATTTCTACACAGAAGATTCGATGAATACTTCGTGCTCCTGAAATTGGGTTGATTAGTTATTATTTTGATGTTCACAACATAATGATTAAAGTAAAGCTAAACCAAAATTTACCTGGAAGACGATAAAACGAACTAATAAATGCTAAGATCAGTGAGAAAAAATTGATATGGTAAAGACATCCTAATTGTATTTCATCTGTGATAATTTAGTTTGCTGAACTTTAAATTAAGTAAGAAGTTTACCATGTTCTGTTAAACTAAAAATAGTGGTGGCCTCCATCTTTTTTTGGAAAGGCTAGAGTTTTTTATTTTTTTAACGGAATTTACATATCTCTCAGTAGTGGATGCTATGCAAACAAAAAATGTAAATGCCCTATAGATTTTAACAAGTACCAGTAATTTTTAGTATTTATTTTTAACTTATGTCTATCTGCCATGATATTTTTGTGTCAAAATGAGTTAATTTTCCGCCTCTTAATTTTGAATGATCCTCCAAAAGTAATAATTGATTGCGAGTTAATCAATACGCATTAAGGTTTAGAATAAAATAAATAATGGCTAATCATATTAAAAGCTTCAAAGCTAGCAATAAAAATCTAACTAATATAAATCAGCATGATTACATATAACCCGTAGAAGGTGATTTAGTTCTTTATTAAATATGAGAAAATAAGACAATATATAAACATTCACAAGATTCAAATAAATACTTAAAGAGAGAATTAGAAAACTCAAGAGCAAGCTCTCAATTTACTCATACGATCTTCAATATCCTTTTCAAGTCTACTAATTGTTGGTTTCAATACTACTTTAGAGGTCCCTTGAATAGCTCTCAAAAATCCAATGAAGCTAAATTCAACACTCTGCCTTTTAACCCTTTCAAGTTCTCTTATTTTGACCTTACAAATTTCATAAATGTAGTTGCAATAATGACTCTAAGTGTGGTAAGACATTATATTAAAATTAGGTCAAATTTGGGATATTGTCTAGCCTTACATCTTAGGTTCTATTCTACTATAGTCGAGTGCTTTGGTGCTAAAATTAGGCACCTAGGCAAAGCTCTCAAGTTATATGTGCTATTTGGGCTCATAAACACCTAGATATGGACCCTAGGTAACAACTCATCTTTTTGCTAGGCTAAGTCTAGCACTTAGGTGCTTGAACTAGGCGCATGGGCCTTAGCTTGGGTGTTTAGGCATTGGGTCTGTCGCTTATACTCCACCATGCTCCAAATCATACTAGTTGTGCCAAAATTAACTCAAATGGCTTTAAAGCTTGATTTTGCATTTTCTTAAACTTTTACTTAAGCTTATTGCTCATTTATAAGGTGCAAATTTGAATTCATTAACTTACATGTGCATAGGATTAAATATAGTGAGTTGAAGTCAGTTAAAAATATAACTTCAAACTTTCAAACTCGCCAACACGTAGATATTTGCTCGAAATAAAACAACTCAAATAAAAAAAATAGAAACTATTAAGAGAGGCTAGAACCGTGCATAAGGTAAAGTGGTATTATTTTTTTATTTTTTGAGGGTGCATCCATAATATAATTCAATTAATGTATGTAACTAATTTAAATTCACTATGGTTTAAATTTTTTTCATCAAATAATATACTTATATGCTAAAATTTTTAGTTCATGATATCCTATACTACATGCACCCATATTTGATTCATCTTCTTGCCTTCATACATTTCTCCCACGCACATGTAAGGTTTATCTAACCTATAACGAAGAGCATCACTTCTTAAGGGACATCTATTAAGAATTTGGCCATAATCACACCATAAAATTCAATTTTATGCATTTTATATTATGATTATATATAAATCAACCAATTGAGAACAAGAATTATTGTATTAGTTAGGTGTATTCTTATTCTTCATGACATGTTATTTTAACTTATAAATTCAATCTATAATCCTCCTAATCGAAGAACATCCCCACATATCTTTTATATGCACGTAATTATATGGTATAGACTTGAGACATTTAGTTAAGACTAATGTGCCCTTTCAAGCATGATTTAAGTACAACATGGTTGAGCCTATTTCATTCCACAGTGAGTCTAAAATTTGAAAGTCTCATTACATATCATTAGAATTGGGTTATAGTCACTAGTTAGATTTTCACATAATTTAAGGATATGTGGTCAATCATTTCATCTCGCCAAAATATAAATTCTCACATCTTGGGCTTCTCTTTGATATTGTGTTTAGGATAATAAAATACAGTTTTTAAAAAAAATGAAAAAATTAGAATAAAATTAATTTCAATATTTTTATTTAAAAGTTCATTTGAAGTATGTTTAAAGCACTATTAAGCATATTATTATCCAATGCATCCTAGATTTCCTATATTAACCTTTGGAAATGTTAGTTGTAAATTTCAACATATTCTATCTAAATCTCAAAATGAAGATCATTAAAAACTAAAGCTGTAAAATCTATTGGAAATGAAAACCATTACTTTAATAAAAATAACTTCTCTTCAGATGTAATTAACTATAGGGTCTTGCTTCTACAAAAAAATATGCACCTCATAATAAAAAAATTATATCTTACCGAGATTGTGTTATGAAAAATCTCAGATAACAAGAAGCCAAAACCTTAAGTTATTAATATTATGATTAGATTATAAATCGAACCTAACATTAAAAATGTGAAATTTAAATCGTACGTCCTGTTAAATTAAATATTTGTTGGTTTCTTCTAAATTTCAAATTAAATTCAAATTTGCTGAAAGAGACATATTTAAAGAATTAGGCTTGCAAATTTTTCTATATATCAAAGTAATGAATTTGATAAATTCCAATATAGTGGATTTATGAAATCTACCCCTCCAAACAACATAAATTACATTCCGGCCCTCATATATTAAAAACCCTAACGCTCCGGCTTCACCATTTCTCAAATCCCTAGAAACCCTCCCGCACCGAAACCCTAATGTTAAACCCTTAAACCCCGCCACACCGAAACCTCCATTATCCTCCCTCCTCGTCCTTCATGACCACCTCCAACCCGGGCATCGGAAACAGCTATGCAAAAGCTCTTGCGAGAAAGCAACCGCCTTGCCTCCATTTGTCCTCCTGAGCTCCCCATGATCGCCGCTCTCCTCCCCAACTCCTCTTCTTCCACTGCCTGCTACGGCCATTACCGCAGTCTCTCGCTGCGGCCTTCCTTCAACCGCCGCTGCTTCCTCGACGTTGGCAGCGAACGCCTCCTCCGGCGGTTATGGTCACCACTCCTCAGGCAGGCTCGTGAGCCGTCCTCCTCATGGATTTTTGCTGGAAGTGCGGGGAGGAGATTTAGGTATTCTGAGGGTTTCAGGGGTCGGGAGAAGAGAGGGAGCACGGAAGAAGCTGAGAAGGATTGGAAGTGTGCAGAGGAAACTAGTGAACAGTCAGATGAAAGGAGTAGCAGAACTGCACAGCAGCAGAGGAGGCAGAGGAGTGAGAGCTCCGGAGACATACCGGGTGCTAGCTTTGACCTCCTAAGCATCCCGGGGGTTGGTCCAAGAAACTTGAGGAAGCTAGTGGATAAGGGGTTTCGTGCTATTGATGAACTGAAACAGTTTTATAAAGACAAGGTGTGAACTTTTTGTCTCTTCCTTTGTTTTAAATATTTGTTTTATTTTTTGATGAGCAGAGTTGGTTTGGCCGCTTGATTTTGCATTTTAGCTGACATTATAGTGATGCTTAATTGACTGCTAAGTTAGTCAATGTGCTTGCTTTATTTGCTAATGGATCCACCATCCTAGCTATACAGCTGGTATTATGACAAGCTTGTCTTTGATGTACCATTGGTTTTTACAAGAAATAAGGTGTAACGAGTCCTATGTAGAATTGCAATCTGTTATGAGTTATTAGTTTAACGTGTAAGTGTGGAGACAGTAGGCTTCATAAGACTTTTTTTTCTTTAGTTAAATGCTTAAGAGTGGAGACAGTGGACTTCACAGTAATGTATTTGCTTTGGTTAAATGCTTTAGAATGTAGACAGTGGAGTTCATAATTATGTATTTGCATGATGCTGGATGTCTGGAACTAGATATCTTAAGAATGAAAATTTGGATTTTGCTTCTTTTTGAGGTGTCCTATTGAATATTACTGGTTTAAGGTGGCAGCCAAGTGTTTTTTTTATTTAAGTATTCTATAAATTTCTTTTCTCGAAGCTACAGTTTTTATGTTTTGATACCAGAATTAGAATGTTGAAGGAAAAAATAATAAAGCGAGGAAATAAACAAGAGCAGGATGAGAGAATCTTGTAGTTTGTTGTATTCTGTATTGCTATTTTATAAGTGACGCATTAGCATTTTTCTAAGACAATATATTCTCTTTAGAAACTTAAATATCATAACCAACTATGAATAGCCAACTTTGCTTCGGCTCATGTATGCCTATATAGCGCAATTTGTTTGGCCTAAAGGATATATTTTTCATGATTCCATAAAGGAATGCTTTTTGGATGATGCCACTAAGTTAATAAGTATTTATAAGAATGTGTTCATGGTGATGAAATCAATTTCTGGTCTTTTTTGCTCTAAATTTATGACATAGTTGATTACAAATGCATGACTTTAGAACCTTGATTTTCTTCTTTGATGCCTGCAGTATTATGGCAAAGCCAGCCATGAAATGGTTGAATTCCTGCGGAACTCTGTTGGAATCATTCACAAAAATCATGCAGAAAGTATAACATCTTTTATAAAAGAGAGTGTTGATGAAGAGTTACAACAAGTGGATGTAAACACAGAGGTGAAACTTTCACAGAAGAAAAGACTAACATTTTGTGTTGAGGGAAACATCAGTGTTGGAAAGACAACTTTTCTTCAAAGAATTGCTAATGAAACAATTGAACTACGGGATCTTGTTGAGATAGTGCCAGAACCCATCTCTAAATGGCAGGATGTTGGTCCTGATCACTTCAATATTCTTGATGCTTTTTATTCTGAGCCAAAGAGATATGCATATACTTTTCAGAATTATGTGTTTGTAACTAGGGTCATGCAAGAACGAGAATCTTCTGGCGGTATCAAGCCATTAAGGCTAATGGAAAGAAGTGTTTTCAGTGATAGAATGGTGTATTCTTTGGCCTGATTTATTTTTTCCTCATTTTTTTCTTTCCTGCATCATTAGTGTCAGTATGCTTACATAGTTAAAATGCCTTTTGAGCTTTCGAGCTTGCTCTGTATTGGCAGGTATTTGTTCGTTCTGTTCATGAAGCTAACTGGATGAATGAGATGGAGATAAGCATCTATGATTCATGGTTTGATCCTGTTGTGTCATGCCTGCCAGGACTTATCCCTGATGGTTTCATTTATTTGAGAGCTAGCCCTGATACTTGCCACAAAAGAATGATGCTGCGAAAGAGGGAAGAGGAGGGTGGTGTGACATTGGACTATTTAAGGGACCTGCATGAAAAACATGAAAGCTGGCTCTTCCCCTTCCAAAGTGGAAACCTTGGGGTATTGTCTGTTAGTCAATTGCCTTCACACTTTGACAACTCATTGCATCCAGATATTAAAGATCGTGTATTCTACTTAGAGGGAGATCATATGCACTCTAGTATTCAGAAGGTATTGTTCACTCGATGTTCTCGAAATCTGTAATATTTCTGTAGGGCTTGAATCTTCTTTTCTGTTTATGATCAGGTTCCTGCTCTTGTACTGGATTGTGAGCCTACTATAGATTTCAGTCGAGATATTGAAGCTAAAAGACAGTGAGTTCCTATTGAACGTTCTCAATTTTGACTTAGTTTTGATAAATACTGGTTTTCTTCTTTTCTGGTTGCTTTCAACTTGTTTTAGTTTCTCCGTTTAATTAGGTTTTTTCACCTTCCAATTGTATCACTTGCCATTATTCTTGGATATATTTTGCTTAGATTTCAGTGTATTCCGGATAGAGTGTGGTGGCGTGACATGGCTGTTTGAAATAATATTACATTGGATGGCAACAAAATCTTGATAAGTATGGCACGTACGTCTAGTCTGGTTTTATAAAACATTTTAGTTATAATGTTATACCATACAAACTATTGAATTTAGCTTTTTTATATTTAAGATTGATGGCTATCAAGTAAAGTCTTGCTCTGATATAAAAGCATGTCATATTAAAATTTGAATAAACTGAATTTAGCAGCAGTTCCTAGTCTTGTGTAATAACCATGAAAGTTTCCTAATCCATCACTCTGAATATCAGTACTATCAAGTTATATCATATTTACCACGGAAAAACAATATAGAGAGTTTAATCTTTGTAATGACACAATAATGACGAAATTACAGAACATTGAAATAACCAAAATGAGGATAGATCACAGGTGCAGTCTTAAATTTTCTCAAGTCTTCATAAATATGACATACAGTAATCAGATCTGCTAAAAATGATAAATTGTAATAGATTTTGTTATGTGAGACTTAAACATTGCACATGCTGTTGATAAGAAATATGATACCTGTGCTGAAAAGCAAGCTGAGGATGAGGAACCAAGCTGACAGCAGCAAAAAGTTAATTTTGACCTGCTGCTGATGCTAAATTGTAAGGCTAATATTAACTTTTATAGTTATCCTGTCATTGAATTCCTTTTTTTCTGTTTTCTCATAGTGTATCTGCACTCTGCGTATAAATCCTCCATCAAATGCTCCCTAATGAGAGCTTCCATTGCAGCCATTGTCCTCTGATGCAACTTTTAACTTTCTCTGAAGGTATGCTCGGCAAGTTGCAGAATTCTTTTCTTTTGTGAAAAGAAAGAAAGAAGAGACTACCGAGAAGGGCACAAATGCAGGATCCAGAAACCAGCAAATTCTTCTTCCCGGAAAGGGTGGTTTGTGGGTTCCAGATGGCAGTCCCTTCCCTGATTCCGCCTTGAAATCTCTCGATTTCAGGAGAGCCATGTCTTCCTTCATGCCTACTTAGCCTGTGAAATGCCTTTCTGTAATTTTGTTGACTGGATTGCTTTGGCATTGAAATGAAAGCCTTTCTTCTCCCAAAAGCAAGCTTTTGCAGAAGGTACCCTTGACCTCAGCTTACTAAAAACATGGCTGCATCTCATCGTTCATCAATGTATGCGTTTTGTACAGCTTTTTTGTCTTTTAGTTGTTATGTGAAGTAGCTGCTAACAGACCATTGATGGTGACTTTTGCTTCTGGTTTAGGGAATGGCTTGTATTGTATTGTAGAATGTAATTGTCAGCTTGGTTTTGTGTTGTTCATCAGTTTCTGGTTGCAGTTCTATTCTTTCAGCCTTATGAGAATTGTAACACCCAAGGTATGGTTTTGCTTAATCCAAGCCTTGTTCTAAGTTCATCTTGTATAATTGATTTGGCTTTCAATTTTCTCAGGGGGTTTTACATTTATTCAATTAAAAATTTAATTTTTTACATATTTCTACCTATTTGCTTCTTCTCATGAGCATCAGTTTGATTCTTTTTATTTCAAAATACCCCCTTGTTTGAATGAAGAATCAAGTTTATTAACTTTCACCATTCATACATAATTATGGGGTATTTGCATATCTAACACTTTAATATTTATATTTGCATGTATAACATTCAAATATTTTAACGTAACAACAACAACAACCGAGCCTTAATCTCACTACGTGTGGTCAGCTACATGAATTCTTTTTCTCCATTGCGTCCTATAAATATTTTAACGTAGCATTAAAAATTTTATTATTATTAAATTTTAAAGGTAAAATACCACAATTTTTATGGATTCACATGTAACACTTTAATATTTATATTTACATGTGTAACCTTTGAATTATTAACAAATTAAAAATCTAAAAATGAAATGCACTATGGAGGCATAATTTTATCGGCCAAAGTGTTATAAATATAAACATCAAAAAGTATAATTGTTAAATATGTAAATGCATAAGAATTGTGGGGTATGTATGTGAATTTCTCTTTACAATATTGAGGCTTACAAATAAGGCAAGTTTTTTTTTTTTTTTTTTTAATGAAAGATGTAATTTTTTTTGCATAGTTATATGTATACATGTTCATAACATGGCCTTTTTATTTTTTTATGTGATTATTTTTCAATTTATTTTGTTATGGTGGCCTTTCAACAATTTTATATTTTTGCCAACATGTAAAAATATATGGTCAAAATAAAAGTTTAAACTATAAGAGCTAAGGTAAGATCACAAATAAGAAGATTCATCACAAAGGCCCAAGAAAATTCTTAATGCAAGAGCCTAACTAAGGCCTATTTCAATAGCCCAATGAAAAAAAGAAAATAATAAAGCTTATCCTTTTCACCACTGCCCAATAGTGAAATTTACATTTTCATCCACAGGGAGTGTGCTAATTTTGTAAAAATGAGAGCTTGGGCGTGAGATAGGTAAATGCATAAGAATTAGGTGCTATTAGTGTATTTAAATTTATGAAAATTATTTTTTAGTTTTGATACGCTACCAATAAATTTTCATCATCCGGCACGAATTTCGAGATTATATTTTGAGCAATAAATGTTCAAATCTTGATAAAAAGTCATTCAGAGCTCCGATTTCAACAAAGTTATAATCAAACTGACCGACTCGATGGGACAAACCTAACAATATCAAAGTTAGTCAAATTCGAGTTAAATCAAGTCTAGATCAAGTTATTAAATCATTTTGGAAGATTTCAAGACAAATTTGAAAGATCAAACGAATGTCGAATTCAGCGAGTTCATAGTCGAACTGAGTGTTTCGACAAGACAAATCCAACGAGCCCAAGATTGCCCAATTCCAACATTATTAAGGCACTCAAATGTCCATCAAACGCCATCCAATCCAGGGAAGTTCTCCGGACCGTCCGATCAAAATGATTCACATTTCTGCATTAATTGCACCCAAAACACTATAAATAGAGCCTCATCCCTCACATGAGGGAGAGTCTTGAGAGAAAACTTGAGACTTTGAGAAAGAGCTCAAGTCCTACATCATCTCTGTCATCGTTGGCCTTCATCGACCACCACCGATTGTCGGCGACCACCGCCAGCCATCGTCGATTACCGCCGATCACCGCCGACCTCCGTCGACCACCGCCGACTGTCATCGACTGTTGTCGACCACCGCTGACATCCGTCGACCACCACCGAACGTCGGCGACCACTGCCGACCATCATCGACCACCGTCGATCACCGCTGACCGTCATCCACCGTCGATCATCGCCGACCACAGTTGACCGAACACCGTCAGGCGACGCTGTAATCTGAAAATCTAGTAATCATTTCCCGTATGTGGATAAGTGGTCGTTGTAATCATCAACATATAGTGAATTTTTATAACTGGGTCAGACTTCGTGGTTTTTTTCTTTTACTAGTTTTCCACATAAAAACTTCTGGTGTCATCACTGGTTGTTTTACTTTCATCAAAGTGTGTGTTGAATCCTCGTGCAATGCTAAGACGATAATTCATTACTGTGCCGCTGCAAATTTTCAAGCACACATTAGTTTGACGCGTCTGTGGGAAGGTTTCAATCCTACAATTAAAGTATTTACACGGTTTACTACATGACCACCAGACACAATGTTCGTGACAACGGAGCATCCCGCTCCAATACCCATCGTTCCAGGGAGCAGTCACGAAGCCAAGGGTGACATGCTTCTTCATCTTCCCGCCCTAGAAGACGCTATCCCGCCAACGAAGGTGTTTCGGGTCCTTCAATAGAAAATCAAATGCATAGAATGGAGGAGTCTCAACTAGAGATCCTACATCTCCTACGCTGGGCTCAATAGCCGCTGCCTACACCATTGGATGACATTCGTTAACCATTAACTCTGCGACGTATGAGAAACATACCGCTCAGAGGAACTCGTACCGGTCCGCCTCTTCAAGAAGGAACACATCTCCTGTTAGGTCGTGATGCTGAACTCCTAGAAACCGCAAGTTCCACTCATCCATCTCGTGCAACTCACCTGGCATCGCCACATCTTCCCGCCATTCCAAATAATGTCATTCGTAACGAACTACGACGCCTCGTCCGGGAAAAGTTCCCCCTCGAGAAAAAGATCGCTTCTACATTCGCCGTAACATTCATGAATCTTCTCCTTTAGCGGATGTGGTCTTCCAACACCCCATCTCAATTGGCTTTAAGCTTCCGAACATCGATACATATGAAGGGACAACCGACCCTTACGAGCATATTGATCATTATCGAACTATCATGCACATTCAACGTGCCTCTGATGCGCTTCTGTGTCAAGTGTTTCTGGCCACTCTTAAAGGATAAGCTCGAACGTGGTTCTACTCTTTGATAGGGGATACTGCAAACACTTTTAACTAGCTTGTCAAACTATTCACGGAGGAGTTCATCGCAAATCAAAGGATCATAAAGGATTCATCCCATCTCTGGGGAATGCGTCAAAATGAAGGAGAGGGGAGAGTCGCTCAAGGGAGTCGCTCAAGGACTACTTCCGCAGGTTTTCTGCTGAAGCCCGTCAGATTTTGGGGGCGGATCCAGAGTTACTGAGGTGGGTCTTCCTTGGGGGGCTCCGCCCATGACCTTTTTACTCATCACTGATGCGAGAGACAGTTCGTTCTTATGCTGACCTTGTCTACCGTGTTGAGACCCAAATCACTGCGGATGAGGCCATCAATACACATAAAAATCAGTTTGAGAAATTTGGAGGAAAGCACAAGAATAACACTGTAGATAATAATCAATTTTCACAACAGAGAAAGTCCGAACAACAGAGGAATCACGACCTCCTTTCTCAAACTGCAGGTCAGCGAAGTGAGCATCGAACTAAGAAAGAGTATACACTCCTCAACACATCACGTGCTAACGTCTTAATGACTATCAAAGATGAGCAAGCCGTTGAGTGGCCTCACGTCCTCACCCCCTAAAACCTAACTCAGTGAATCAAGAACAACACTGTCATTTTCATCGAAGTCGTGGCCGCTCCACTGAAGCGTGTAAGTAGCTCAAGGAAGAGATTGAAAGGTTAATTAAACAGAGATATCTTGGTAGATTCATACAAAACAAACCAGCTGATACCGATAATGCTCCTACTGGGGGGCAACCTACACCAAGGCAACAACATGGGGGTCACCCAGTCGTAAGCAAAATTCAAAAAATTGCTGGAGGCTCATTGCTGATTGATCAAGTCCTTATCACTACACCTGATGAACCAATGCAGAAGAAATTGCGCCTCGTGCCTATCACTTTTGATGATTCCGATTTGGAAGGAGTTCGAGTCCCCCACTAAGATCCTGGCGAGTCCTGCTATAACGTAAAGAGGATCCTGATCGACAATGGCAGCTCTGTCGATGTCTTGTTCTATTCAACTTTCCTCAGTTTGGGATTGACAAGAGAAAGACTTCAACCTGCATCTAGACCATTATATGGTTTTGATAATCAAACAGTGAGGGTCAAGAGAACAATAAATCTCCCTGTTGTCTTGAGAGATTTTTCTCGACAGATAACCCACTAAGTCCAGTTCATCGTTGTCAATCAGAATCAGCATATAATGTCATCTTCGGGAGACCACTGCAATCAATCTTTGGCATCGTGACTTCTGTAACACACTTGAAGATCAAGTTTCTAACCCCAACAGAGATCGTCGTCGTGCAAAGTGATCAACAAACAACACAATCATGCTGCCTTAGACAAGCTCATCCACACCCGTCAATGACACTTAGCATTGAGAACTTTGATCTTCGAGATGAAGATGTATCTCAACGGGCTTCTCTCTTGAAAGACTTAGTTCAAATCCCACTCTCTGACAAACATCCCTCGAGAACAGTGCAGCTTGGTTCCCTACTCTCTGATGAGCAAGGTTCGGAGTATGTAGATCTTCTCCAAAGGAACCAATGCATTTTTGCATGGACTCCAGGCGACATGTCTGAAGTTGACACATAAATAATCATGCACTCTTTAAAGGTAGACCCGACCTTTAAATCAGTCATCCAGAAGAAGCGCAATTTTACCCTAGATCGCTTACAAGCTATTGAATAAGAAGTCAACAAGCTTCTCGAAGCAAAGTTCATCCGGGAAGTGCACCACCCTACATGGCTAGCCAATGTCGTCATGGTGAAAAAAACTAGTGGTTCATGGAGAAAGTGTGTCGACTCGACTATACAACAGATCTCAATAAAACATGTCCGAAAGATAGCTTTCCCCTCCCACACATAGATCAACTTGTTGATGCCACTTCCAGACATCAGATGCTTAGCTTATATGGATGCATACTCAGGGTACAATCAAATAAATATGAACCCAATAGATGAGGATGCCACCTCTTTTCAAACATATAAGGGCTTATACTGTTATCAGGTTATGTCATTCA